TTTCACATATAAATTACGATTTTAATACAACCAATAAACACTTTGAAAATATAACACAACGGTAATCAAGTCAAGTTTCGGTATATGCATGTCATCCACGAATCCGCCCCATACTGGGTCACAGTGTCCATTGTAACTTCATGTATTAAATATGTATATATATATATATATATATATACTTTTTAACACTTAAATACCAGATCAAGTACAAACTTCACCATCGTAGAGTTTGAAATATACCTTTTTGATTCTGTACACGAATACGACAATGTGTTTGATGCTGAAATCCGGTTGGTAATAGCCAAGGCCTTGATCAACATGAGAGTAATAGATTCAAATTACAATGTCGTATTATCCCAGTTAGAAAATGTAACGAATAATATGCGTGAGTAGTCGATTATATATTTTTCTGTTTTGATTCTTTGTATATATACTTTGATATAAATCATTGTCCAAGATATATATATATATATATATATATATATATATATATATATATATATATATATATATATATATATATATATATATTTAATTTACTTATATTATTGTCATGTATGACTCTGATAATGTGCAAACATATATACTATTGACCTACATGGATAACTTAATTAGATACGTTTTTCTTCTACATACAGTTTCATGAGAATTATTATTAAATTATCATTGAATTTTTAGGTAAATATAAGGTAAATGCTACAAAACTAATCCACAAAGATCTATATATTTATTTTGCAGAAGCAGTTAACTGCATAACATGTGAGACGTACGAAATATGTGAGCCAGTAAACGGCAACATGATTGTATGGCACTGCAAGTGGGTAATTTTCGTTAGCAAAACATAACACAATAGATATAAATGTTTTTCAAACTATTTTGGATTGGTAATGTGATGAATTTACTATAACATTTTGCTAGTTAAGTGGACTAGTGTAGTAATTGGCCTACTTGTACACGGGATATAGTATATTTGCTTACATATGTTTTGCCGTATCTGATCGCAATCAAACTTAGCCCAATTTCATACGTCTCGAAATAAGGCAACACCAATCTCCCCCTCCCCTCAAAGAAAAAGGTATCACTATCATGTTATTATGCTAGTTATGGACACTCATAATTAGCAATTGAAAAAAAAATGTCCTTGATATTGAGTTTTTTTTTAAATTATGTTCCGGGAAAAATCTGTTTATAATTTTCAGAAAACAATTATTTTTCTACAGTTTACCTAAAGTACATTAACAAATCTTGAAAAAAATTAACCGTTCGGAGGATACAAACAGTTTATAAAGTATGATAAAGTATGATATTTAAACTTTTTAAAATTTTGGGTCAGGTGATAACATTAAATTTTATTATTTTCACACACCGTTATTTACTGTTTTTACCGCAACCAAATTTAGAAAATTCAAAATAAATTAGCCTACACCTAAATTTTATTGTTGAGTTTCTTTAACTATGTTAGAATCTTATGAAAAATACTTTATTGGACTATAAAAGTATTGTAACAACATGAATTCTTTGTTGTTGTGGGTTAGCTTTCATACAGGAACACGAGCAACAGTGGCAACTTCAAATGACAACTTTATTTACACTATGTACAGATAAATCCGTGGTACATCCATATTTGAAGATCAACTGATATAGGTACAAATAATAATCACGACTCCAAGTCATGGAGACATCTTACATTCACTGCCATCGTTCCAGTCCCAAGTCCTAGCACACAACACCCGTTCACCTTTCGCTCTCTCTTTTATTCACCACTTTCTCTCCCCTTACGTCAATGAGCGATCTCACCCAAAACACGGAAAAACACATGACGATCGCTCAGACAGTCCTTCCGCTAGCCAGGTACTCTTCATTCATGCAAAACACAATATAATAAAGATACATAATAATACAGTCTGTGACAAGTATAATACTTCATGAACAGTTGAAATCCTACGAATACGTTAATTTTCATGATGGCCGCTGTAATCATAGTACCAAAATCAAAATACCTCCACTGAACTTTTTCTGGAAATACATACGTTGCCCCTTTGAAAAGCTGTACAGAAATAATTGCTGTCTGAGAAGTATTAAGAACCAATTTTGTTTCGGAGTCTACCCACTAAACGGTCTAAAGGATATCTAGTAATTAAGTAAATGGACCCCTATTTAAATCTACCATTTTGATGATTATTATATTCTAATAATTTTTTTTCTATGCAGGCCATCTGAGCCACGTAAGTTTGGATAAGCTATTTTACATTAACCATGAATCATTACTTATACAATAATAACAACACTTTTTTTCTAACATTTAGATTTATGTTCAATTTGCCAGTTATACAATATATCTGACACAAATATAATTATATGAAATATTGATATTCAGGTTTTTAAGATTTCTGGCCTAACTGTATTGGATTTAAATAAAAACTGTGTAAATATTTGATTTACTTACAAGTTGACAGTTTAATAAATTATGGAATTACCTTTATATTTCACGCAACATTATACCGATTCCTACCAAATCACATGTACGTTTTCTATTTGGACTGTTCGTTGCTCAGTTTTTGTCATTGTTCGTGCAAAATCTTTGTTTATTTTGTAAAACTTCGTTTCATAAGTAGCACATTAAACTTTACAAACAGCTGAAGCTTAGCAAATGTTAAAATGCAATATTTAAAAGAAGATAAATAACAATATCGCATCTGTAGGAAACCTGAACATATTTTTATTAAGACTTTAATCACTTCTTTTCCCGAACGATGAACTTTAACTATATATATATATATATATATATATATATATATATATATATATATATATATATATATATATATATATATATATATATACATATATATATATATATATATATAATATTTGTCCGTTCACTAGTTTCCTCGTGACTCCCAGAAACTGCTAGTACATCCCTTCCATCGACAGTTTCAAGTGCTTCTCAAGTGTAAAAGTATCTGAAATAAACCATAACCGATAATATTGTAGCCTACTTTCAGAAAAAAAAAACATACAAAAGTCCATTTGCTCCGGGAATTAATAAAATTTTTTTTTTTAAATTGATATGGGGGGTGATCCATAAATGACGTCACGCTTTTTTGGACGATTTTTACCTCCCCCTCTCCTCCGTCACACACCGTCATAAAAACCAGACCATCCCTCAATATGACGTCACACCTCAGCCTACAACACCCCCCCCTTTTCTAAATTGCAGCTGGATTTTTCTTAAAACATCGATGTTTTCCAAAATCAGGTCTAAACTCTGTCAACATAGAGTATTTTCCCACGTTTTCTTTAACTTGCTTTCTCTGTTTTTTTGTTTGTTTGTTTTTCCAATCAAATCTTGCGATCGAAATTTCTGGCACTTCCCAGTTAGCTAGCGCGCTGAAATTTTCAGGGAAGCTTTCTTTTGGATGACCATAGAATATTCAATTGTTATTATTACTAAATTGATCAATGGAAACATTTTATTGAGCATTTTAGACCGCTATATAATCTATATATATAATTCTCCTCTGCGAGCCATTAGAAAAAAAAACGAGCGACGCGTACCTCGCGCGCAGTGAAGCGAACGATCCCACGTCGCCACAGGCTTAGGGGCAGATAATTTAGTTTGAACCGAGTTTAAACTTACAGGAGGTAGGCCAGTATGGGGGAGACGATATGGTCGAGTGGTTGGGCACACGATTGCTATCCCACTCGACACGGGTTCAAATCTATGTGTTCTAGTCAGTAACGTATTCACACAACGTGTTTTTACGAGTTGTCTTTTTACGAGCTGTCTTCGTTTACCCAAAAAAAGTGAAAAGATAAAATCGATAGCAAGATTTTAATGCAAACAAACAGACAAAGACTAAAAAGTAGAAAATAATAATCATTAAAAAAGTTTTTAAAAACCCACGTTTTCTGATTGAACTAAAAAGTAGAAAATAAATGCTATACATCACAATAATGCAAGCGATCACTCTACTATAAGCGATCAAAAACGTGGGGCGCCGTGATTTTCTTACAGTTTCTAATACTGTTGACTCTCTACAAGCTCCCTAATAAAAGTCAATAGTATTATCTAATCAATAGTAATATAACTTTTACTTCGGCGCCCCACGTTTTTGATCGCTTATAGTAGAGTGATCGCTTGCATTATTGTGATGTTTAGCATTTATTTTCTACTTTTTAGTTCAATCAGAAAACGTGTTTTTTTTAAAACTTTTTTAATGATTATTATTAATCAATTTCTATTACAATTTATTAAAACAGTTTTCTAAACCGCGAAATAACATCTAAAATACGTTCTCTAAAATTGTTTTTCTTATAATTCAAAAGTGTGATGTCAAATCATCTAAAATCCCCCCCCCCTCTTTCCTTCTCATTACACACCGTCACAAAATTAAAGGCCCTTTGTCCCCTCCCAGTGTGACGTCATTTATGGACGACCCATATTCAAAGAGTTATTATTTTGCTTTAACGTATAGTGTTTTCGATCTTGTCTAAAAAAAAATTCAAAATTGACAAAAATAAGTTTTCCGCCCATTTTAACAGTTTAATAAGTGGAATGCTGTATTAATTAATTGTATACTTACTGAAAACATTGTATGGCTAAATTCATGTGTGTGTATGTGTGTGTGTGTGTATGTGTGTGTGTGTGTGTGACCAAGCAGCAGCAGACGTGTAACCTACTTTGTTAGGTCTTGTGCGACCCTTCTCACGGCACCCAAATGCGACAGGTGTCTAACCACCTGTCTGTAGGTATTCGCCCGCGGCTTAGGAGTTCCCGCCTCTAGGCCGCGGACACCTCATTTGGCACCGATCCACCTTATATAAAGAAACTCACTCTGATAAGCTGACAACACTTTGTTCCTTCATGATAATCACAGTTCAGATAATTCGGTGAATCTCAACAGACCTCCAATGTCAAAGGTCCACACACCGTATCACTCCGTATCTAAATCTACTAACACTTGTCTCTGCGTTCAATCCATTTTCTTACTTGCAATCTTTCTCTCACAGGGCTTTTCCTCGAAGCACACATCTTCTATTTCTACCTTTAAATCTTATATCTCATTCTCTACCCAAAAGTAACGCAGCTCATATATACACCCAGCTGCACATCCGGTGTTGTAAACAGAGTTTCTTCCAGGCATCTCTTCGGGGGGGGGGCGTCGAGTCTACCGCCTCGCCCCCCCCCCCCCGAACCAGATGAAATTTATATAGTAAACAAAACATATACTTTTACTAGTGTCCGCTCCCCCCACCCCCGGAAAATGTAGACCGCCCCCCCCCCCGAAAATATCAAGTGCCCCCAACCTCCCCCCCCCCGGAGAAAAATGACTGGTACAAACACTGGTTGTCAACAACGTCTAACAATGTTAAACTATTCTATTTCGGTACCACATATTGCATGGTTTCTACTATTAGCTTGTCCGTTTGTCTTTAAGTTACAAGTCAAATTCAATTTTAATTTTAGTCACCCCAGTTACGTGTTTATATCAGTTGTATAATAACTATAACTAACTCAGTTTTGGCCATGACCTTGTCCTTGTTGACATACACTACTACGTTGTTTTTGTAACTACACTAGTTACTCACACACATACAAATACACACACATATATATATATATATATATATATATATATATATATATATATATATATATATATATATATATATATATATATATATATATATATATATATATATATATATATATATATATATATATATATATATATATATATATATATATATATATATATATATATATATATATATATATATATATATATATATATATATATATATATATATATATAAGTTTCAAGTAACATCGTGAGTCATTCTGTAAAGTTTATTGGCTGGCCATAAAGACTATTGTAAAGTACAATGTAATAGATAGATAAAAAAAAAACAACTATTGATATCTTTATACATTTAGAATATATGTTATAATTATCAGAGAAGAAGTTTATTTTGACAACTTTTATGAATGCATTTCAGGAGCGTATCCATACGGAGTTCTGTCAATGGATGAAACATTAGCTAGAAACAGAGAATTCGCCTCAGCAAAAATTAACATAGAAGATTTTATACCTTATGAAAACACATTATTTCAACACATATGGGTAAGTTCGAAAAAAAACTTTCAATTAAAATATAGTTTTTTTTTAAATATTCGTTATAGTCTATTAGTGCTTTGAAGAATGATATTATAGCTCGGTAAATATTAACACCATTATGCAATTTTCAGATTTCTGTGAATGGATTGATAAGTTTTGGAGATGAGTACTCCAGTTTCACGCCTCAACGACTGCCAGTGTTAGATAAAAAAGGAAATCCTCGACCTCTGTTAGCTCCGTACTGGACAGACCTTGAGCTCACAGATGGTGATGAGGGACAGGTTTATTATCATGTATGTTTTCTTTCAGTTTTCATACATTATTTTGAATTAAACGTTCAACGTGTAATTAGTTATTAACTGAGATTATAGATTCATGCAGTTTATCTTAGATTAAAATAATAACTATTGTTATGATAATAAAAACTCTATCACCGTTTTTTTTTTAAATTACAAAATCCGGAATTGAACTCCACACATTACTTTTATTTTTTAAAATCCAAAATCACAAAAAAACTATAAAAGAAATGTGTGCAATTTTTTTCTCATTAAAATAGTTCGAATAAAGCAAAGTAAAACCATGGGTCTTGCTGAGTCAAAAAGGAAAACTGTTATTTTACTCGAGATTTAAAAAGAACAACATATAGTAATTAGAATATTTAGTTTTAGAAACATGTATGAATATCTTTCTGTAAATTACATATTTAAATAAACCGGGAGTGATCTTCCCTAAACTTTCTCGAATATTCATTATATAAAAAAACAGGGGATGGGAACTCGGGATATAGACATGAATTTTAAACTTTTTAAAATAGAATAAAATCTCGTAGAAAAAATAATTGCACACCAGTGAACGCCAAATAAAATGTGCATAATATTATTAGTACTTTATAAATAATTTACATTAGTTTTTGAGAAATCGGAAATAGCGTAATTAGTACTTTCGGTCAACGGAAATTACTCAAAATTTGACAAAAGGTAGAAAATTAGATCTTTTACTTACATGTGACATTTCATTTATCTATCAGAAATAGTACTCAAGTTATAGGCTTTTAAAAAATTCAAAGTAGAAAAAGTACCACTTCCGGTAATCGGAAATCGCTCAAAAGTTTATACGGATCTACGATTTTGATAAAATACTTATATATGAAATGTCATCAACCTAGTTGTAACGGTACTCAAGTTATCGTGTTTACAGACACACACACAGACACACACAGATATACAAACAAACATACGGACAAGATTGCAAAATTATGTTTTTCCGTATCAGTCAGGTGTAAAACGTCGAGATTTGCAAAAATCTCGATTTTTTTTTTTGCACAATTACAAGACTTCCTCTATACTTCGTATATACGAGAAAGTAAAAATCATAATAGGTTTGACGTAAGTCATTAATAAACACGTTAAATAATAAACTATTTATAGTTAAGCTACTGTCCATGTATAATTTTCAAATATGATAAAGTAATATATTTATCATTATGCTGAAGATGCCTTTACAAAATTCTTTAGGTTTACAAGTGCTGGCTAGAAACATCCTCTAAAGCATGTGAAAGGGCCAAGATCGACATTGTTAGATATGCTAACATTTCAACCTACACTGCGACCATTGTTATTGTAGTCACATGGGTTAAAGTGCCCGTCACAGGAAATACGAGAAACGAGGTACTGTTTTATGGACTTTATTTTCTAACACATATTTTTTTCATTTTATGCAACTAGATCGACATAGTGAATAGACCAAAATGGTTTGAAGTGAACAACCAATGTAGATTTTTTAAATAAAATAAACCTACACTGAATTCTACTCCAACTTTTAGTATTTGGATTTATTTATTTTAAAATAATATCGCCATTAAAGCTAACACTATCACTTCTGGTAGAATGTTCTAAAATTGCTATATACTACAAATCACGACTTCAAAAACCACATAAATATTGCATTGTGCTCTGGGCTTTATACAATTCAGCAGCAGCTGTGTCCAATTAGATATTAAAACTTGTGTGAGGTATGTTGACAGGAGAACAATTTGTTTTTCTTTTTTTTGTGCTAAGCGTTATTTAAATGAAGAAACAGGGAATTAGGCCTCGTAGATAACAATAGGTTTGTTATATTTTTTATATAAAAATGATACATTATTTAGTTTTTTAAAATCATAATAAAAAATTATACAATTTCAATATTTGGGGATTATAGTTAGTTTAATTGATAGTTGTTTAAGATTTAGTAATTTAATTTAATTTTTCTGGCTTCGTGTTGCAGTTATTTATTTTGTGTTATTTCAGTATTTGGCGTTTTTCGACTTCCTATAGAACTAAATTTCCAACCCTCAGTATCACCAAACATATATACACAAGTTTAACTTAACATACAGCATATACAAATAATCAATTTGTATATGCAACTATTAGCCAATATTAAATATGCTTGCTTAAAACCAAAACTAACACAACATTTTAAACCAACATTATTTCGCAATGTTTATAAGCATTTCCAATTTTTTTTCAGCGTGTGTCATTCCAGTGCGTTATTGCAACCGATGGCTACACAACCTATGCTATTTATCTATATATGCAAGGAGCTATGCAATTCAAGCCATTGTCTGCAAGGAATGTTGAGGTTGGGTGGGGAAAACAAAACTTCGATACATCCAGATTGTCGTATTATATGTTTGACAGAGTTCTGGGAAATACAGGCATGTTAAAAATTATCTTCCTAGGTTAAAAAATGGGTCAGCGTGGTTGCAAACCCTTAGAGTTTCGATTTTTAACCACCGGTAAGATAAGAATGGATTGCTGGGGAAACCAACCCATGTAGGAGAGAAAACTCCTAAATCATACAGCCCATTTGGATTACCAAATGTACTTTTCTTTTCAACAGTCTATAAGTAAGCTTACTAAGCTGGTGTCATGTTGTATAGTAATGCCTGTCCCCTGTTGTCATAAATTTGCAAGAATAACGAGAGAGAGAGAGAGAGGGAGAGAGAGAGAGAGAGAGAGAGAGGAACTGATACATGGGCAACACCTGGCCCTTCTAAGCTTCTGTCCAGGCTTTGCGCCTTGATTTTCAAGACTACTAAGCCATTTAGCTTAGTTTAAATTTAAAAACTAATTTATAAGGATTATTAAATGTTATAGTTTATGGTGTTATTATATTTGTTTTACTATTAGCAAAATAATAGATATTGGAAAATATTTTTACATATTATGGGCATGTAGATTAAAGGCTAAAAAATATACAAACTTGTAAAATGTGCTGTCTTTTTAGTTTAAATGCAAACAGTAAACATACAGATAGTGATAGCATTATTATGAATTAATATAACCATACTCTCTCGGTTCTAAATTGTCAGGAGCACCTGGCCAATGGTTTATCAAAGTTGGAGAAAAAGACAACTATAAAATGTTGTGTAGATCATGGTATCGATCAGCCTCTGTTGCTGAATTGATTGGTAAATGACATTAATTATTACATTTTTTAAAAATTTAAATATAATGAGCTATAAATAATGTTGCATAAGCAAATTATGGTTTTGCTTGGTAAGCAAAATCGTGTGTAGTGTATTTGAATCATAGTTTTTGTTATATGTTACACATGAATCAGACATTATTGTGATATTTGATATGATAATAAAGTTGTATTCTCTAAGGCGCAACCTTAAAATGGCAGATAACTAAGCCTGCTAAAGATATATGTTTTTTTTTAAAAGTTGTATTTTCTTGAAAGATAAAGAGTTCTGCAATAAACACACGATAATTATTTAAAAGTGCTAGTATGTGTAGAGACAAGCAGCAACAAATGTATGAATATTTTTTTTTAAAATGTGCATCTATATATTTGTTTTTATTTGTAAATATTTGTATATATTTTTCTCTATGAACATCTCTCTTTATATATATTTTTATTTAGCCTATATATATATATATATATATATATATATATATATATATATCCTATATTGGTATATTAATATTTAGCCTATATATATATATATATATATATATATATATATATATATATATATATATATATATATATATATATATATATATATATATATATATATATATTATTAATTAAAATTGGAGAACTAAATTATCAAAAGAGATTTTAAATTTACTTACATTTTTAATACCAATTTTTTAAAAATTAAAAAGCATTTTTAGTCTGTTACTTTTTCACATTTTCTAGCTATCAATAATAAGAATATAGAAATGCCAGCATGTCCATGTAATGAATTGGTGGCCTACAATAGTCCACTTTGGGTGCAAACCACACATGTCCAGAATCAAAGTCACTGTTTTGATTTACTGCCATATTATGGTGAATTTGGAAGGGTGAGAAATTTTTATAGTATGTGTTTATGTTTATATATATATATATATATATATATATATATATATATATATATATATATATATATATATATATATATATATATCTTTCTAATATGCCAACAGCATATTATGGTCGAAAAGGTTTTGAAAGAGGAAATTAAAATAAAGAGAACAATGTTTTACATACTCCTGGATCAGCAATTAATAATATGATTACAAGTTTAATAGTTTAGTATCATAGTGAAAGCGCATCAGTTATTGTTTACTTCTGAAGCTGAGAAAGTAACTGAAAAACTAGTCTTTGTAAACTTCTGGATATCTATTGGTTTGAAACGTGTTTTTAATTACCAGAAATTTAGATTTTATCAGTCAAAATTAGTATAGTTTTAATTCCTTAGGATTGAAACACTTAAAACAGCTTAAGAATATTACAAGTTTTCTCCTTACTATCTCTAACAGTACTTAATATGAATAATAAGATTACTTTAATTAATTACTGGCAGTAGTATTGTTGCATTTAAAATATATTTTTAAAGTCTCAGATGCTGACATTTAAACTTTTGCTTTTAGCGATGCTGCTATCGTATGGATGGGAGTTTCAGTCTTGAAACCAGAAAGCCACAAGCAGGCAGCCTTCAACGCAACAATGCTTTCAATTCTTTAATACACAATTCTAGAGATCACCAACTGAATGATATTGAACCAAAAAATTGGTGCTGCTATCAATCTGATTTATGTGAACAATACTATGAATTAAGACCAACTGTACAATGTATTGCAAGTAGTTGGGTGAGGGGTAAGTTGTTAAATATAACTTTATGACTTAAATAAGATATTTATCTAACATTGAAATCTTACTTATATGAGTATCTTCTTGTAAAAGTTTGTATTTTTATATTAAAAAATACATTATTTTATATAGGCCCTAATTGTTATATGCTTTAAAATCTTCAAAATTTTTCTCCAAGGATTTTTGTTTGGTGACCCTCATATTTTTACTTTCGATGAGCGATTTTATATTTTTAATGGCCTTGGAGAATATAAAATATTGGAGATAGATGGCATTGCAAAGGACAGAACTGACATCAATTTTATGATGCAGGTAAATTAATTAAATTAACTACAGTTCTAATGAAGTTAAGTACCTATTCCTCATAGATTATTTTGAAAATATAATTGTAATACAAATCATTTACAAAGTTCATTACCTCCTAATATTTTTTTTAAATATAAAAAGGGTCGGACTTGCAGTGCATTAAGCAAAAATGGAACAAAAGCAAGAGCTGCAGTTTGGTGTGCTTTTGCTTTTAAAAATGGAGATGATATGATATTAACAGTACAAATAAGTCCTGGGGATAGAAGTATGTTTTTTATTGTACATGATCTTTAATTATTTTATAACAATGCGTCAGTTTTCATCTTAATTTCACTTTTAGAAATGTGATCTTGTGAAAAAAAAATGTATTGCAATTATTGACACAAAAATAGGTTAAATCTATAAATCCTTGCTTGCAGTAAGACAAAAAACACAAAAAGTTCCAGATTAATTAATATTAACATCAAAATGCTTCCACTCTTTTCTAATTCTTAAAATCTATTAAAAAAGATTAAGTTTGTATAAAAGAACACAATACTTTCTTATGAAAATTTATAAAAGTACTAACTATTTCAGTGATGGTTATTTATGCAAATAATAGAGATTACTCTGCACCATTTAAAAATGAGCCAGAATTCTTTGCTGTTGAAAATGGAATGGTCATCAGACAACAAAATGGATCCTTGAAAGTTTCATTTTCTGAAAGTAAGTTTTGACAATTTAGTAAATACTTTAAAATACCTTTTCTAGATATATTTAATACTGTTTTTAATATCTTATATTTATATCCTATCAAATGTGTTAAAAATAATGCAATTTTTAAATCTCCAGGTGTTGGAGTCACAATTACCCTATCATATGGTTTTCTTGAAGCTTATGTAAGCTTAGATAAGAAATATCAGAATATGACACGAGGGCTCTTAGGCAATTTCAATTATATCAAGACAGATGATTTTATATTTCCTAATGGGACTACACTCACAGATAAATCGTCTGAAAGACAACTTCTTCATTTTGTACAGAGCTGTGAGAAATTTTTGAAAATCAGTTTAAAAAAATTAAATTATTATACATTGTATTTTGTTATTTAATTTAACAAATCAAATTGTATAGAACATTTGTAATTTTGTTTCTATTTTTATAGTGAAATTGCTATTTACTTTTTCTTTGCAGGGGCAGTAACTCAGTCTGAAAGCTTATTTCCATATGCTTATGGGCAAAGCACATCAACATTTTCCTTTACAAATTTCACCCCTTTATTTTATGATGAGCTTAGTTATGCAATAACCAATTCTTCCAGTACATTTTGTAATGGAATGTTTCAAATACCTTGTATTTATGATTACATTGCTACTCAAAATGAAAGTTTAGCAAAACATTCACTAGAAGTAGCAGATCAGTTCATAATGGAGAATACCAATATGGGTAAGAGTTTTCTATAACTTTTTATTTAACAATTATAGAATGATGTAGTTAACAATATAGCACTACAGCAATGATAGTTGGCTATTGTGCATCAATCTAGGAATATTCCTTAAAGTTTACTTTGGGGGCAGTGTGGCTTAGTGCAAGCTGATCATTTAAATTCTTTTAAGTTTCATACTTGACTTTGACATACTAAAATGATTTGTTTTTGATGCTTTTATCTTCTAGAAAGTAAATACTGTTTTAACTACTTAAAATTATGCTTAATTAAATTCATTTCTTTTGTCTACAGCAAATCAAGCACCATTTATTAAGCTAAATCAAACAAACTTTGAAATATATATTAATACTCCTTTTTTCATCAATGTTAGTGGCTATGATATTGATGGGAATGTTACACACTTCATAGTATTAACCAATGTAAATTACATTGAAAAGCCAAAAAATCAAGTTACTTCAACACATAATACAACAACCGAATTTATGTTTATAGTTACAAAGTTAACTGTAGTAACAATTGGGTAAGTAGGACTACTTCATTTACATTTTAATGTCTGTTTGTCTTTTATGTATTACTACTTTTCATCTGAATGCCATGAAACTTTGTGGAGTTTATGGAATACTCCTGAGAAGATTTATGTGGAAAACAAAAATTAAATTTGAGAGGGTCAGCGACACCATCTGGCTAGGATTTTGCGCAGTCAGATTGTCCTAGGCATATTCTCACCCGTATTCAAGTGACCCTGTGTGCCCCAGGCTCCCACTTGAACTTTATGGTACCTACATTTGTTTTAAGGCCCCATAGAAATCGAAACACTGTGGGCCAATATATTTGATAACTAAATAGAACAAGAAAGAGCAGCTGATGCCATGTGGTGCATGAGGGAACCCAGTGACTCTCATGACATGTGTTATACCTCATTATTATGGGGGTTGATTAATTTAACTTTCAAGGCCTTGGGTGTCTGGCTGCAATTTGGACAAACCTGCATCCTATGATCAAAAAAATAATAGCGCAGTCGTTATTTAAATTTATCTAACTCAGTTTTAGAAAACATGGATAAGGTGTTACAACAGACTTGTTGGTTAAACTTGGATACAGCTTTAATTAATATTAAGATTTAACATAATGATATTTTTGAATTTCTGCCCTGAAGAATAGTTTTTGCCAGCTTTTTACTAATTTTCAGATGGATGAGTTTGCTTTTTTGGAAAACTGTCTATGAAAAACTAAAAGAAGTAACATTTTAGGGTCAAATTTAAACATTTCCTTTTTTTGCTTTCTATGGTCTTCTGTTTGTATGCTGTTTTGTATTTTTATAATTAGAATTACCCTTAACAAATGTGAGGGTGTATGTATAATAGTTTGGTTTTTCCTGAAAGTTTTGTCAGACAATAAGTAAAAGTAAAGTTTCCCTTTCAAACCTAACGGTCTATGGGGCAAGTGAAGTAGAGTTCACTTGTTTCTGTGACCTCGGCATATGAAGAGATAGTGTAGTCAGCAGTATGCCCAGCCGCCTTTACTTTCCCTAACATGAGTTAGGTACCCATTTGAGTTGGGTGGACTCAGGGACGGTCTACTGACTTGAACCCGGATTCGAACTCGAGACTTACGGGTTAGCAGTCCAGCTCTCTACCGCTAGACCACTCCGTCCCGTCAGACAATACTATTCCTTAAAGTTTTGTGCAAAAGTAACACACTTTTATATAAAATATATTCAAATATAAACCTATATATATATATATATATATATATATATATATATATATATATATATATATATATATATATATATATATATAGATATAGATATATATATATATATATATATATATATATATATATATATATATATATATATATTTATATAAATATATATTTGTATATTGATAGAGTAAGCAAAAATACGATACATTTTCTCCCACAGAATAACAGCTGTTGATGATAAAAACATGCAGTCAGAAGTTATCCCATTGTCTCTTACTCTCTGTACTGGTTGCAGTAATCAGGGATCATGTAACTTTTCTGTTACCAGACCTACCACATCTCCTTATTTTACCTATGCAATCTGCAACTGTAACTCTAGATATAGAGGCATGTTGATAATTTAATATATAATTTTAAAAAAAGTTTTCCTACATTTTAAAAGTTTAAACCTAGAGCTTTTAAAATATATTGAAGTTGTATAGTTTGGCGGTTGTTTTACTTTGATTTATATTAAATAGAAGTAAGTTGTATAGTTTGGCATTAGTTTTACTTTGATTTATATTAAATAGAAGTTTAATAGAATTTCTGCATAAGCCTAAATAACATTCTTTCTTTATAACATTTTTACAGCTAAATGTATAAATTTGAATTATATTATGTAATAATCTGTTTGCAAAATTTAAGTTAAAGTAAAAAGATCTGTCTGTGTACACCACCACAACTTATTTTTTGGTATAACTCTTAATAGGAGTTGATTGTGAAGAAATTATTGATGGCTGTGCTGATAAGCCCTGCCCATTAGGCTGTACAAATCTTTCAAACAATATAAATCAGGCTACTGGAGTATTTTATAACTGTGAAAATTGCCCTGTTGGTTTTAATCTTAGCATTACTAAAACCAAGTGTGAAGGTATGTTTTTTCCATATTTTAATTTTAAATATTTTTGGGTATGATGTAAACTCAGTGTGTTTACTACATGCATTTGAATAATCGATAGTAATATTTTAAGCAAATTAAATGTACACTATAGCATTAAATATGGTAGGTACTTAGAGGTACACAGTGAAAATGTGGAATGCATTTCAATCTAGACAAAAGCAAACTATAACTCTTGAAATAAGAGTATTACTATAATTTGTCTGCTTTCTTTTTTAAATTATTTAAAAAAAAATTATAACTGTAAAAACATTTACTGAACAAAGTACAGTAGACACTATTTTTAAAAACAAGTTGTTAGCTATGTAAAACTAATAAATAAAGAATTATACATGTAATTTGAGCAACATTACTTATGCACTGTATGTTAATACTATTATTAAATATATTGTATTAACAGACTTTGATGAATGTCAAACTTCACCATGTGATTCTCATGCTGACTGTGAAAATACTTATGGAAGCTTTTTGTGTCACTGTCAGAGTGGTTACCAAACTGTAAACAACAGTTGTGTGGGCAAGTAGTTTTTCTATTTCTAAAATCAAAATAGAATAAAGAAAATATGAAGAAATTGTTAAAATTCATAAAGAATCCATACTACACATTTGTCATCTTTACATATATATACCATTTATGAACATTTAGAGTAAAATAATTTTGTTATCATTTTTTAAAGAATTAAATATTACGATGTAATAATCTGGAATATTTTAAAATATAGTATTTCATATTGTTTATTTTTGTATATTATTCATTGTAAAAATATCTTAGACATAGATGAGTGTGCTGATAAACTAGATAACTGTGCTCAGTTATGTACCAACACTCTAGGAAGTTTTAATTGTTCCTGTTATCCTGGTTTTAATAGCTCCAAAAATGCATGTATTAAAACAGAAACAGGTGAACATTATTTTTTAAAATTTATTTAAATCTTAACAATGATACTATTCATTTATGAAGATAGTAAACAAGAGATGAATAATCAAATATTTTAATCTTCACTTTATTTTTAATTTAAAGGTATAAATCAGTGTAAATCAGTAAACGCAACATGCAATTATGACTGCAACAATGACACTCAAGGCTGTTTTTGTAAACATGGATTTATTCTGAAAGAAAATGGCATTGATTGTATAGGTAATTCAAGATTAATAATAATATAATTAGAATCAAGGTTCATGTTGTTTTGCTTTTTATTTTGTAACATATTCATTATATTGAAATTTATACATAACAAAATAATATTTATTTAATTGAATGCAGTTTTATACATTCTTAAAGAATTCATTTTGAAATAAGTTTTTTGAGGTTACTAATATATATACTTAAATTTTTATTCATTATCTGTTAATGCAAAATATGTATGTGCAGATGTTGATGAATGTAAGAAAAACATTTGCTCACAAAACTGCAGTAATAGTGAAGGGAGCTTTACTTGTAGCTGTAACGCTGGTTACAAGATGAACAGCGAACATGCTCACGAGTGTGATTGTAAGTTTGAAGTTGTTTCTTCATAACATCTTTCTTTAAAAGCTCTTAATAAAATCTAAAAAAACCTTTTATTCAATATTGTTTCTAATGATAGATAAACATAATTATATCAATCTAAATTGAAATTTCACTTAAGGTTTTTAATACATTCCTAACTATAAATTTATTTTTAAAAAACTATACCATTTTTGTCTGTTCTAGCTGCACTTTATTTTTCTATAGCTTAAACCCATACATGTCTCATTACATATTAGAAACCAGTGGTAGTCCCAAAACACATTCAAGTTTTGCGTTGATAATTGTTTTTCTAATAGCATGTCGTGATAATATGTATGGGTTAAACTGTGCCGCACAATGTGAATGTAAGGGCCATGCTCTACGATGTGACAGTATCAAGGGCTGTATCTGCCAAGACAATTGGAAGGGAACGAACTGTGACATTGATGTTGATGAGTGTGTAGAAACTCCAAACATTTGTCCACCATATCATTACTGTAAAAATACTAAGGGATCCTACACATGTGACTGTCCTACAGGATTTGAAGATATCAATGGGACTTGCATCAGTAAGAATTATTCATTAATTGAGATAAGCAGTTTATAGACCAATAATTTGGTGTTTGTTTCAACAATATTTTGTACTACTATAAATCATAGGTGAACATTATACTATCCAGGTCTGTAAAATACAGCATTATTGCCATAAATAAGGTTTTTATTTAGTCGCTATAGGATTGTTGTTTAACTTGGTTCATAATTGATAACAGAACTCAAATGGCTACCAGACAAGATATTACAAATGTAATGTAGTTTAGCATTGATTTGGGTAGCCATTTGACACCATTATCTGGCCAGTCAAATTAAATTAAATGTACAGTAAACACCACATAAAAATATTAATGTCTATAACAACAAACATATATTTAAGATAAAACAGAGATACTTATTACCACAAAAAAATTGTGTTAGTAGTTTTAACATTTGATTTTATTTATTATTAAATTGGGAATGACAATTTATTTATTGTATATAAAATGTCATCAGCATTAAATGTTTTCATTAAATTAAATTTTAAAAATATGCTAGTTACTTCAAATTCATTGATAATTAATTATTTCTAATTTCATTTTTAAACACTACTGACTAGAATAGTTCAGTAGATGTTATTTAAATTTTGTATAATCATTTGTTTTTCAGACATCGATGAATGCAACAATATTCTGCTAAATAATTGCTCCCAAAACTGCATTGATGCACCAGGCTCTTTCATTTGTGAATGCTTTAGTGGTTTTACAAAACTTTCTAATGGGACTTGCTTAGGTAATATAAAAAAACATTGATTTTAAATCGAAGCCCACATTGTAAATCTAGCTATAGTTAAAACACTATAAAATATAAACAAAAACATTTAAAGCTGTAATAAGCCTAAATAAAAAAAAAATAACTTCTGAAAAATTGTATCCATCACATTGAAAGTAAATGTTATCAATCTATTAATTAAGAATCTACAATATCTCTACAGATATAGATGAATGTCATAATGGCCAATCTGGCTGTGAGCAGATCTGTTTGAATGTTCCAGGGAGTAGCTACTGTGGTTGTTATCCTGGTTATAGATTAAAGGATGACAGAAAGACATGTGAAAAAGATGGTAATTTTAAAATATAATAAACAAATACTTAGTAAAAAAATCAGCATGTGCAGAAACAATAGTATTTATTTTAAAAAAAATTGCTTTAAAAAACACTTAAAATAGAAATATTTTTGAAAAAAAAATATGTACTCATTAATTTACTTACAGATTATTAAGATGATATTTTAATGTGTGCATCAGCAATAAAAAACTGTTTTAACTTTATAAACTTTTAAAAGAGAAATTACATTTTAATTTTAGTATGCCATAACTTGTGACCCAACAATTTTATTTTTTCAGCTGTGGATCCTTGCGTCAATTTTTACCTTAACTGCAGCCAAGGCTGTACAGATGTAAATGGAACACCTCAATGTTTCTGTCATACTGGCTTCACTCTTAGCACTAATAACTTTGATTGCATTGGTGAGTTTGTACATTATTTAAAATTGACAGTTTTTTAACTATATTTATAACAATTGGAGTTTTAAAGAATTAAATAATAAAATATTAATAGGTTTTAGTAACCCTTTTTTATTAACATTAGTAAAACATTTCTCTGTCTCAACTTGAAATAATTTGAAATATTTGTATCAAAAACAACAAAAAGAATAATCATTTTATTGTTATAAAGAAATTATGAATTATTTAAAGAATAAAAATAACTATAAACAACATTTTCCTAGAAAATATCCATCCATTCTGTATAAATTAAAAATAAATCACTACTCAAATTTAACGTCTTTTTTTTAGATGTAAATGAATGCAAATCAGAAAATAACAAGTGTGATGGAAACTGTGTTAATACTATGGGCTCCTACAACTGCTCATGCCCTGTAGGCTATAAACTGCAAAATGATAAATTAAGCTGTCGAGGTAAAATAACTTATTTTTAAATGAGAAGTAATTTATGACTGCATTGTGTTTGCTCTCTTTACATGTACTATTCATAGCAGCACAATTATCATAAATGCAGATACCGCATGTTTCCAGCTTTTGCTATTTAAGATTGTAAATATTTTTTTCTTACACTGCTATGGTTAATAGTTCTATTTTTATTTTGTCACTCTTATTTATTTGGAATACATTTTTGTTTCTGAAAATATTATATTTAAAGCAATAATATAGTCTAGTATAAGTTTATAATTGTCTATAATTTAAGTAATTTTAGTTGCAAATGATGTTTTCCAAAAAAATTATAATTTTGTAATGTTTAATTTCATCTAGCATGTGATGCTTATCATTGGGGAGATAACTGTGCAACTACATGTAACTGCAGCATACAAGGCATGTCAAGTTGTGATGCTGAAATTGGATGTCAGTGTAAAACAGGCTGGGCTGGGACATGGTGTGAGATTGATCAAGATGAATGTTCTAGTGAAATTTCTCCTTGTCTGCCATTGTCTTCATGTATTAACACACCTGGATCATTTGAATGTCGGTGTAAAGAAGGATACATTGACTTAACTAACCATACATGCACCGGTAATGTGAACATCCTTTTTATCTTTGTATTTCTTTTAAAGGCACATACACATTATTATTAATTATTAATTATTGAATGTATTTTAATACACCATGTAAGTAAAATTATTAAAATATTTAACAAAATAGTAATAATTATATTTAAATGAACAATGCTTCTGAAATAGTAATGTTAGTTTTGGTCATTACAGTTTTAAAAAAAATTGTAATTTACATACAATCAACTCTCTTAAAATAGTAATAATTATGACTTATTACTAAACTAATCACTCATTTTTGTGTGCAAATACAGTTATAGAAATCTGCATTATTACCATGTGTTTTCAGAATGTTATTATGGAACTAATGGATATAGTTGTACGCAAAATTGCTCATGTAATATAACAAAAAGTATTTGCTTTCCTGAGAATGGAACATGTGAGTGTCTAAAGGGATGGAAGGACACAGGCTGTAATGCTGATATAAATGAATGTAACTACCAAATCAATCCATGTCAGAACAATTCAAACTGTGTTAACACATTAGGATCATATAGATGTGTCTGTGATAAAGGCTTCTTTAAATCAAACCATGGTTGCACTCGTAAGTATTTTATATTTTTATTTATTTATTGTTTATTTTATTTTTTATTTTGCTGAAATCATATTTTAACATTTGAACCAATTATAAAAAAAAATGGCGGTTTTGAGTACAAACTAATTTAAAAACTACATGAAAAACATAAAGATTTATTGTTTTGTTAATTAAATTTCAAAATGAATGTTTTAAAAATAAATTTTAATTATTTTACAATGTTTGTTTTAGCTTGTAGTAAAATGAAATTTGGTCAAGACTGCAGTGAAAAGTGTAATTGTGTTCAGCTTCACACTGAGAAATGCAATAATATCAATGGATCTTGTACATGTAAGCCAGGCTGGACTGGAGTTCATTGTGAGAAAGATATTGATGAATGTTCAAACACTAGCTACTGCCCAGATGAACATGACCATTGTTTTAATATAAATGGATCGGCCGAATGTAGATGTGATGAAGGATATGGAAAATCAATTGGCCCATTTTGTGAAGGTGAGATAAGTAATTTTATAATTGTTATTTATGTTACACATCAACTTATGCTTAAGTTAAGTTAAAATTACATTTTAATTCACTGTTTAATTTACACCTAAGTCACATTTTAATTGAAATAAAATCCACTCATTTGACATATGACAAATCAGCTGACAAATGAATTATTTCATCTAACTATAGTAAATCAAATTTAACTTTAGTTGATTAACTCAATAATTATATTCAAACCAACCTGTGATTACAATAGTTATTGTAAACATTTTACACTTACAGATATAGATGAGTGCCTTGATCCATCTTACCAGTGTGACTTGAAGACTACGACATGTAACAATGCAGAAGGATCATATGAATGTATTTGTAAACCTGGACATTTAACAAAAACAAATGACAAATTTGCTTGTATAGGTGACTTGTTATATCAGCTGATAATTTGCTTTTTGTACTTTTTAGAAAGCAATAGAGCTGAGTGGACATTCTACTGAGTTGAACCCAGACTCAAACTTAAGACTTTTGGGTTATCAGTCCAGCGCTCTAGCTCTAGACTACGCTGTTCCATAAGGAAATCATTGAGAGACTCAAAACTCAGTTCAAGGGCTTGAGTCAGTAGGCATGTGTTAAATGTGATATGACTGGACATATGTAGACCATAAAATTCCACACTTTGTAGATTTTAAATACAGATATCATCAGCCTTAAAAGAGAACTACTTAAATTTGAGAAATGCTGTGAAACTACCAATACTATTATATACATATAATAATTTAAATATTAAATTATTCCATTAATAGTAATATAATAACAATAAACAATATTCCTATAAAATTTGAAACATTATTTTGGTAATTATTGAACATGATGTCTAATACATTTATTAACATCAAAATCACAAAGTTATTACATAATCTAATGATTCAACTGCTGATAATTCCATACAGTGAACTATGTTTCATTCCCATTGACTGTTCAACTTCAGTACCCCAAAGAGAACATAAACCCGTTCTTGTTTATTTCAACTACGAGAGAATCAAGAGAATTATCAAGTAAAATTGCAGATAGTGTAAGCTTTATTTATTACAAAACATATGTTTAGACTAGAAAGTTAAGAAGGGTTACTTTTTTTTTTTTTTTTTTTAAATAGTCTATTTAAATTAGCATGTTTAGATAAAATAATCTTCTAGGATATTATATATATATATATATATATATATATATATATATATATATATATATATATATGGGATAAATATAGTTATCAGCAATAGTAGCATTTGTATTGTGATTGTGTAGATCAGAGGTCTCCAAACTTTTCGGCCCGAGGGCCGCATTAACTATCAAATTTCAGTTCGGGGGCCAATTTCTTCCAGGCATGTCTTTGATTTTTCTGGGCAAAGTTCCTCAGCCATCACCAACAAACGGTTTTTCTGTGGACAAAAAAATCTCAGCGGGCCGGATGAGAGGACATCGCGGGCCGCATCCGGCCCGCGGGCCGTAGTTTGGAGACCCCTGGTGTAGATCTCTGAAAAGGCATTTAACCAACGTTAAATTATAAATAAATCACTTTTGGTTTTAAAACAGCTTAAAGTGATCATGCAACATTTATTTCAGTTAACTAAATTTGGAAAAGAAAAACTTGGTCAAGCTATTTTGCCTTTCATTATAAATAAACTTGTGTAAGTATTACACCAAATTTGATTTTGTGGTGTAATTACTGTAACATTATATCTTCATTAAAATAAAATATTGTTTTCATTTATAATGTTGACTTATGCCAATACATTATGTTCAGTTAAAATGCTATATTTTAAGACAACTTACACCTGTTAAAAATTACTTTTTTCTAAAGAAATGGATCCGTTATTGCCTATACAGAACTACAGGTTGATCAATTGTATAGTAACAGTGACTCAGACCCTGCTTCAACATTTGCTTATGAACTAAACAAAGCAGGAAATTTGACTATTGGTTCTGAAGTAATTGAAGTACTGGATGTTTCTGTGTGTAACACTTCATGTAAGTCAATAAAAGATATTATAATTTATTTTTCTCATCCATTTCAATAAACTCAAGTATATAACTTAATTGAAACACATTTCATTATAAAACAGTAAGCTTTTAAAACCACCTTATTGAGAGTAATTTGTATTGGTTTAGTGTCTGAGCATAAGAATAGTAAAAATACATTTTATTGCACTCATTTAAAAAAAAACAACTTTGATTTAATAAATTAGGTATTCATGACCATTTATTCCTTTTAAACCCAAAAAAATAAAAATATTACAATAAATTAACTTTTACAGCTAATGCACATACATAATTGTTTGTTATTAGTGAAAAAGCTACCAAGTTCATGTGAAGTGTACTCTGTCTTGAAGAACTGTTCATCTAATCCATCATACAAAGAGAACACAGTACCATCGTGTAAAATCATAGGTAATTCATTTAAAATAAATGTAAAAATTTATCCAGTACTTATTATGGATTTGCAAAAGAAACAGGGGAAATCTACTTTATGTACCCATGTTTATCTCTTTCTGTTAATATTGCTACTTTATGTACCCCATAGATCCAAGTTTGAAAGGATAACTTTACTTATAGTGCTAATATAGGCTATAAGTAGCAAAATACTGTATAATTATGATTGCCTTAGTAATACTGATTAATGCAAAATAAAAACTCAAATATTTTAAGATGCAGAAAACAATACTGCATTAACAATTGGACTGTCTGTTGGACTTAGCCTGTTGGTCATCATCACAATAGCTATTGTGGTGCTTGTTATCTTGCGCTATAGAAAGAGAAGACAAAAACATGATCAAGAGGAATATATTGAAATTAATCCGTAAGTCTTTGAAAAGAATGTGTTTTAATAACTTCATAGTAAAAAATTAAGTCAAGATAGCATATTTTGATTTCTTTAAAAAAAAATATTTATCAAAGAGCTCAGTCAACATATGACTTGTAGTGATTATGTAAATGACTTAATGTTTATCTGCAATAATTGTATAATTTTAACATAGGTCTATAACTTTGTAATAATAATGCTGTGATGAAATATAGCTGTATATATTGTCTGTCATGAAAGCACATTCAAGATTCAGTGTTCTAATTTTTGTCTTAATTTTTTTTCTTAGACCACTACTATCCCCATTACCACATGAAACTGTGTACAAAACAACTGAGGAGAAACATGCTTACAATACACTTGATATGAAAGATACAGATCCTGTTGTACATTATCAAATGATACCAACCACATCAGAGGAACAAGGAGCTGATTTACCTGACCAAAACACTGATATGAATACATATTATGAAATAGTGAAAGATGCAGACAATAAGACAGCCACATTTAGAGAAATGGCTACTAATTCAAACAATGAAATTACTCCCAACATTCCACTAAGAAAGAAGAAGTCTAATAATAAACCAGCTGAAGATTCAGAAATAACCAACAGTACATACAATGAAATACAGAATAATCAAAATAGTGTAAATGATATGAATGCAGAAATAGACAACACTCCATACAATGAAATCCCCATCAATCAAGACCATGAAGTTGTCAACAGCCTAGAAGAGGATAACAGTCCTTATAATGAAATTAATCCTGACGAAGATAGAGGTCACAATCCATACCATCAATTAAATGAATCTGGAACAAATGACTTGGACAAGGAACATGTGAGTAGTACAAATTTGGAAACATACATTTTTTAAAGTAGGATCACAATGACTGGTTCAGATTAAATTAGAAGTTTTTTTTTTTAAATAAATGTTCAATGTTTAATCTTTAGCTATACTTCAATGACAAGTTGTTTTTTTGTCATTTTTCCCCCACAGGTTTATGAACAAATCCAAAAGTGAAGAGTTGAATCTAATCTAGGCTTAACCACATTAGTAATCATTAGTATGATATAATAAACAATATTTGTTTGTAAATCATGTTTCCTTTTTCATTCATACATTAAAATTTACATGGATATTGTTTCCAATACCCCTGTATGAATATGTTACCAGGATGTATAAAACCCCAGCATTTATAGAATACCTTGGCAATTTAGCAATCCATGTTGTTCTTTGAATCACAGAATGAAAGTTCCTGATTTTCATAAGATGGGCGAGTCATAGTCTTTCAATCCAGTGGTCAGTTTTCTAATTTGATGTATGGCTTAGTTCTTTCAAGCAATATTATATTCTACACTTTGCCTGTGGTTGTTTAGGTAAATGTATGACCCATTTCCTAAATGGAAATATTTCATTATTCTTGTTTTTTTTTAAAGCAGTATTAAATCAATTTGCTCAAGGTGTTCAAATGAGTTTGAATTTAAATTCATGTTTGAGTTATGTTTGCCATTGTAGTTTGCTACAAGTTAAATTATGCATTTGATTGTCATTTTAACTTCTCATGTCCAAAAGTATAAATAGTTCACAATGGTTTAGTCTTTTATATGGTGCCTTTTTTACATGATTAATTCATGGAAAATAGATATTGGCTAAATCCTTTTGTTGGAGTTACTAAATGCTTCATTCTAGAACTGTCTTGTGATTCAATTTCTTGTTCTGTGTGAGGTGAGAGAACATTTGTAAACCTACATTTTCAAGCCAACATATTGAAAGAAAACTCACATTAAATATATATTCATAACTTTTAGCATATGACTGGTTATTTTTCTTTCATTTTATTTATTGCAATATAATCAGTATATTTAACTAATGTCATGTTGTATTCAATATTTTGTGTTTTTTTAAATTAAAATGAACATAAAGATTTTGTGAAAATTCCCAAGGTACTTGTTCAATGTTGGTAACAAAACCACTTTCTAATAATTATATAAGATTTAATTAACTGAACTAAAAAATAAAGATATATCAGACATATACTATTAACATTTTTACTTATTAAGTGTGTACTATTTAGCCTAGTAGTATAAATGGAAATTTTTTCTTTTTAATTTCCCTCTTTCTTTGTATAATTTAACTTCCAGTATCATTCTACAAATATTGAAGTTAGTGTAACTTAAATAACAAAATTGACTGGTGTATTTACCTTATAAACACAACGAATTAGTAGGCTATTTATTTAGTGGCAGAAATCTTAGATGAAAATCTGATTGTCTAGCCAGTATCAGCAAAAATATTAATTTGCATTAGTTTGTATCAACATGAAAATAATTGTGCATAAACCAATAGATTAAATTATCTTTACAATTATAATATGTAGTGAAGAGGGATGAATGGGGGTGAATGTTGTTGTTACTTGGTACCCTATCCCATTCGTCCTTGTTCAGTTCTTTTGCTGTGTGTTGTAATAGTCCGATTTGTAGCAGTTTATGAAAGGATTTATAAGTTGTATGAGCACCAATATATTCTGAATTTTTTATGCTTGTTATCATGAGACTAGATGGCATGGTCAAATGATAGAGGATTTGTCTGCTAACATAAAAGTCTAGAGTTCAAGTGCTTGGCTAGAGTCCCTGACTCCACCTGCTAGTAGGCAGGTCTATGTTTTTAATTCCATTTCACATGAGACAAAATAAAATGCAAAACTTTAAATTGATTCACAAAACACATTCACTAAATAATGACACAAATGCACTTTACTCAGAGCAATGAAAAATTCATTATTATATTATTATATTATGATATTATGATATTATATTATTATATTATTATATTATTATATTATTATATTATAATATTACTATATTACTATATTATTATATTATTATATCATTATATCATTATATCATTATATCATTATATCATTATATCATTATATCATTATATTATTATATTATTATATTATTATATTATTATATTATTATATTATTATATTATTATATTATTATATTATCATATTATTATATTATTATATTATTATATTATTATATTATTATATTATTATATTATTATATTATTATATTATTATATTATTATATTATTATATTATTATATTATTATATTATTATATTATTATATTATTATATTATTATATTATTATATTATTATATTATTATATTATTATATTATTATAACTATACTAGCCTACTTATCAAGTTGTGAACTAAAGTGTTAAGACAAACGCTACCATGTATCAGTTTTGTGATGCAACTTTTAATATCTTTTTTCCTTAACTGTTGTATATTGCAATATGTAGACAATAATTGTAGTAATAGTGTGCAGATATTAAAATAAATACAAAAAATTAATATATTTTAAAACTTTGTGAACAATTTATTGCTAAATATTATTACATATAATATTTTCGTAAAGTATACTCAATTACTAACCAACAATAATTACGATTTACAAGTTATTATAATTTATATATTAATTCTAAACATATTATTAACATTAAACCTAATCCGAAATATAAGATAATCATAAGGTTCGGTTAATGAATGGAAATGGCAAAGGCTGTAATGTGGTTAGTGAAACATTTTTTGCAACTATTAATCTAATTTTAACATAATATCAAGGAGATATTAACTTTCACTGAAAAATCATAAAATTAATTATACAATTTTTTTTACTAAGAAAAACATTTTAAGTTTACATTTAGGATTTATTATGTTCCAAAATTGTTTTGGTAATATTCTAAGGTTTTTAAAAGCATAAGAAATGGTTTGCTGATATGTCAGTACATAATGTTTTCATTGTATATAGCTTCACTAAAAGGAGAAAGGACTTTCTTAAACTTTAAACATTTAGCAGCTGGATCACTTGCCATCACAGGGGGTAGTTCCATGGACTGATAACTTGAGTCTTCCCTTGTACGTTGTCTATTACTAAAAGTAAGTATATATTATTTTAAATGTTAAAAAATACACAAGGCAAAGTATATTAAAATACATACATTTTGAGTGAATGTAAGTACTAGACAATGTAGATTAAAAAACACACCTGAAAATAAAAAATTCTTTACCTTTAAAATTTTAAGCTCTAAGTAAAATATATATTTATTTAAAAAAGACACCAGAGTTAAATAAAACGAATAAACAAAATTGTGAATTTTTATCGAAATAATTTTCAAAGATTAGATTAGGTTGGCCTGTCACCACTCCTGGGACAAATGCCACTGACAAGAGATATCCAGGCATCTCTGTCCAGTGCTAGTCTTTAGCCTAGTAATTTTTTGACTGAATGATCCCGATTAATTTATAATCACTGACAGGATTTAATAATAAAAAGTAAATGTAAGTACTTACTCATTAATAGACTTTGAATATAGATGGTATTTAGTTAACTGCTTTTGATGAACAATAACATAAACAGCAATAACCACAACAATGATGATAAACACACCAATTCCAATTGAAAGTCCTAGAATTAAGGCCAACCTGTCTGTTAATAAAGAAATTACATCAAATATAAAATTAGCACATTTTGATTTGCCTACAGACAAAAATAGCTAAATAAAGTTATTTAAATAAAAATATATTGTCAATTTTTTTGAAATACCTGTATCTTTTATAATTGTCTTACACTGTGTAAGATTCTGATTATTTTCGTAACAATTTTCATTGGATGAACATGATTGAGATAACTGAGTGTACAGGTCACAAGTATTGTCTGGAACTATTAATTAACACAAGAATTAGCAGAAACTGAAGAAAATAAACAGATGATAAAAATATTTTGTTTGAGGTAGGTAGGTATTGTAATAGATTGAAATAATTGTGAGGTCAAGGGAACTCACTCTTCTGTATTAGTTATATTTATAATATTGTTATCTTGAGTGATGTCCCTTGTGTACTCCCTTCCGCCCTCTCTGGTGTTACCATCATGAGGTAGTTAGACCCAATTAAACGTGTTATATACAACCACAGGCTTCTGTCGTCAATCTATTATAACTGGCGACGAAGGATAAACATCTACTAGAAAGAGCACCTACTTACGCAAAAAAGAGGTTTGCTAGAGCTTATTAGCTAATTATTTCTAGAATTATGGCGCTGTATGGCCAAATAAAAGAATTTGATGCGAATGATGAAATCATTCAAGATTACCTAGAGAGGTTAAGCTTTTACCTAGAAGCTAACGACGTGACGATAGAAGCCAAAAAGAGAGCTGTTTTGTTAACAGTCATAGGGCCTCAACAATTTAGGCTACTAAAAGACTTATGCGCACCAGCCAGTCTAACTACCAAGAGCTTTAACGAGCTGAGCAAATTGCTAACAGACCACCATGCGCCTACCCCATCAAAGTTTCTATGTCGAGCTAGATTTGACAGTAGGACTCGGCAACCAAACGAGTCAATATCAGAATATGTTGCTGCTTTACGTCATTTAAGTGAATTTTGTGAATTTGGAGAAACGCTGTCTGACAGATTATGTGAAAAGTTTGTGACAGGTGTAAACAGCCCTGATATTCAAAGAAAGTTGCTGCTCGAGTCAGATCTAAAATTGGAAAAAGCAATACAACTTGCAATGTCATTCCAGCAGTCATCAGATGCGGCGAGATCTTTAGCACCTTCAGAGATCCATGCAGTAAACAGCAGGTTAGTCAATAAACATCAACCCCAACAGAGCATTCCAACTTATGCTAAACACCCTGCTCGTTCAAATCCTAGATCTAAATCTAGTAATAATTATCAAAAATGTCATCGATGCAAAGGTCCCCATGCATCTCATCGATGCAAGTTCAAGTCTGCAACTTGTTATAAGTGCAGTGAGCAAGGTCACATTGCTAAGGCCTGCTTTGCAAAGTCTTCGTCTGTTGCTAAATCTAGCCAGTCAAGACAGTACCGCAACCAAAAGCAGCACTATGTTAACTCTCACCAAGACTACCTAACCCAACCAATGAACCACTCTACCTGTGAAAATGCTCAAATTGATTTGCAGCCGGATTTCAACCTGTTCTCTGTTAAATCAATAAGTCATGCTCCCATCAATGTACCAGTTTATATCAACGGTAAGAGCATCAGCTTCCAACTTGACACTGGAGCATCTCTAACAGTCATCACAAAGAAAGATTTTGACGCTGTCACAGAAAAATCAGTGCCTCTACAGCCATGTCACAAGTGTCTAACAACATACACTGGTGACAATGTTCCGGTAATAGGAGAGTGTATGGTTCATGTAAGTTATAATGGTCAAAGTGTTAAACTTCCTCTTCTTGTGGTTGAAGGAAATGGACCGCCATTACTAGGTAGGAACTGGTTAAGTGATCTTAAGTTAAATTGGGAGAGTATTTGTTCATTGAAGAATGTAAAAGAATCTAGTCTTACTTCACTAGATAAAGTTATATCTGAAAAAAAATGTGTTTTTGGTAATTCAGCTTTACTAAATGATAGAACAGTGAAGTTAAGCATTAAAGATACAAATCCAAGATACTGCAAAGCTAGAGTTCCACCTTATGCAATGAGGAATAAAATTGAAAATGAGCTAAGTAGATTGGAATCTAATGGCATTATAAAGAAGGTAGACTATTCCGATTGGGCGACACCCATTGTGCCAGTGTTAAAGAAGGATGGTTCTATAAGAATTTGTGGAGACTACAAAACTACACTGAATAAGCAAATAGAGCTAAATAGGTACCCTATACCTAACATTGAGGAAATTTCTTTGAATTTGGCAGGAGGAGACAAATTCACTGAATTAGACTTTAGTCATGCTTACACTCAACTAGAACTGCATCCAGATTCAAAAGTCTATACGACAATAAACACACATAAAGGACTCTACCAATATGAAAGACTATGTTTTGGCATATCATCTAGCCCTGGAATTTTCCAAGCTGTCATGGACAGTATTTTTAAGGACATTCCAAATGTTTGTGTGTACTTTGACAATGTGTACATAACTGGTAAGAATGACACTGAACATCTTAAAACACTTGATAAAGTATTAAAAATTGTTGGTGAAAAAGGTTTAAAGGTAAACAAAGATAAATGTCAATTCATGCTGACAGAAATTAGTTTTCTTGGTTATATATTAAGCAAGCAAGGCATCAGACCTCAACCTGAGAAAACAAAAGCCATTAAAGAAGCACCCAAACCTGAAAATACCCAACAACTAAGAGCTTTTTTGGGCTTGATAAATTACTATGCAAAGTTCATAGAAAATCTGTCTGGTAAACTATCACCACTGTACAAGCTGCTACAGAAAAATGCAACTTGGCACTGGGGTAAACAACAAGAAGCTGCTTTTAATACAGCAAAAGAGGCTTTGTCTGCTGACACCTTACTAACTCACTATGACCCAGGGAAAAGACTTATATTAACATGTGATGCTTCACCAGATGGTGTAGGAGCAGTCTTGTCCCACATGGATGAGAAGGGTGACAGACCCATTGCTTTTGCCAGTAGATCTTTGAACCAGGCTGAGAAAAATTATTCTCAGTTAGATAGGGAAGGCTTAGGCATCATTTTTGGTGTTAAGAAATTTCATAAGTTTCTGTTTGGTAGGAAGTTCACCATCTTTACAGATCATAAACCATTGCTAGGTTTATTTGGAGAAAACAAAACCCTACCTGAGCATGCCTCACCAAGAATTCAAAGATGGGCTATCACACTAACTGCATACAATTATGAATTGAAATACAAACCTGGATCTGAGAATAGTGCAGATAGTCTTAGTAGATTACCTTTAAAAAACCAAAGCCTGAGCTATGTACCAGAAGATGTATTTGTTCTCTTCACTATCATGGATAACTCCAATATAAATGTGAATGATATTAAAAGAGAAACACAAAAAGATGAGTGCTTAATAAAAGTATATGAATACTGTAAGAATGGTTGGCCTGAAGAGTCTGTGAATGATGACTAAAAGCCATATAAAATAAGAAATAAAACCCTTTGTGAAGATAATATAAAAGATGGAGAAGATGCAGTCCATTATCAGTCAGAGTTGCCTAAACAAAGTATTTGTAACTTAATAAATGATTATGGTGATATGGCAATTTCAAATACATTAGTAAGAAAGAATGTGATCATCAAACAACTTTGCTAACATCATTAGCACTTACAGAAACTAAAAGGGTAACATCAAAAGAAGAAAAAGATTTTTGCCATTTAATACACCCACTTCAAATACTGGATCACAGTTGCAAAGTGATATGGTCCAGAATATTACTCATAAACAGTATTTTTGGTTACCAAAAAGCACTATCAGATTACATGAGGAAATTGATCAATCAAAGAAATCTATGTCAGTTAAGGATCTGAATAACAGCATAATACTTTCAGATGCCAATTCAAAAATAGTTCCATTAAATCATGACAAACATTCATTGAAAGAGAATTTGGTGTTAATGAGAATGTGTATCTAAGAAATTATGGGAGAAAGGAAAAATGGATACCAGGTCAAATTGTTCAATGTACAGGACCTGTGTCTTATAAAGTAAAAACAAATGATGGACTTATTGTCCGTAGACATGCAGACCAGTTGAAAATAACTTGTGCAGATAATAAGTGTGAATCTGTCAATCCCACCAAATCTGAACAGTTCACACCAACTCAGTTGTTCCACAACCAAGTTCTGTTGATATGAGTGAACCAAGTTGTCTGGAGTCAGAAAATGTAAATTCTGGAGTTAATGATTTAAATCCTAGACCTCCTGAGATAGAGAATCCAGATGGTCAGAATCTTGAGTCACCAAATCAGAAGCCACTGAGAAGGTCAAGCAGGACAATCAAAGTCCCAAATAAGTTAGACCTATGATTCTAAAGGTCAAAAGGACTTTGACATTATTGTTTTGTATTTTGATTATGTTGTAGCATATTGTGCATTGTTTGTAAGGATGTAATCTACCATAGTGTTCATGTTACAATATAATTGGTGATTTTAGGATACTATCAATTGTTCTATTGAGAGATGTGTTATTGTGTTCTAAGGGTAAAGGGATGTAATAGATTGAAATAATTGTGAGGTCAAGGGAACTCACTCTTCTGTATTAGTTATATTTATAATATTGTTATCTTGAGTGATGTCCCTTGTGTACTTCCTTCCGTCCTCTCTGTGCGTTACCATGAGGTAGTTAGACCCAATTAAACGTGTTATATACAACCACAGGCTTCTGTCGTCAATCTATTATAGGTATGTGCAATTGAAAATATTTTCAGGAATTATTAAGATTGGTTACTATGTGAACTGGGGGACTACGTGGCCTAAGCAGTAGAGTGCTAGACTGCTAACCCATAAGTCTCGAGTTTGAATTGGGTCCCAGGCTGTAGAACTTCTCTTAGTCTACCCAGCTCTCATTGGTAACTAACTTATGTTAAGGAAAGTAAAGGCTACTGGGGAAAGTGCTGACCACACATTCCCTTCACATACTGAGAATCATAACTTTTTTTTATGTGAACTATATTAATAATGCAGATATATATTGTTTATATTATGAATGGTAGGTGGATTAAAAACAGCCTAATGCTACTAGAAAAAACATATCTGTAAAATATTTTATTAATATATCTTCTAGCTGTGTAACAAAACAGAAATGGCAAGCTGACATTATTTGAAGGCTTCAACAATTTTATTTATAATTTGAAATTATAACTAACTTGATTGGTTTTGTACTAAAACATTCATGATTTCTATGATGTCAGAACCAACAGTTATATTTTGATTATTTTTTAAACTGATGGCAAACTTTGATGCAGAATATGCAGGAGTGCTGGTATAATTCAGGTCTACCACAATGGCTGTATGAACTATGATAGATCCATCCCTGTAAATGATTACAAAATCATAATCGGTAAAAAAAAATTGAATTAGTATTATGATGATTTTCTAGATTATTATCAAACTAAAGTGAAATGACTATACACGTTGTATTGTTGACAAGTTCAGTTTTGTATAGTATCAAGTGCTCATCAGAGAATAAAAATAAAAACAATGCGAGAATATGGTGGGTTTATTATTATTGACACTGATAGGTTTGAAAAGTGTTCATTCAACATTACAGTTGATATTATTATACTTACGAGAACTTTGAAATCACAAATGGAAGAATTTCTTTTCCCACTTTATCTCCACCTAACTTGTTTAACTGAAATAGTTTTATTTATTTTAAATAATATAATGTTTATAATACTTTTCTAACATACAGGAGGTCCATAAATAAAACACATTTATAAATATAAGCGTGGGGATGGTCAGACTTGTATGAACATGTGCAATGAAGAAGAATGCATGGGGAAGGGTTCAGAAAGTTCGACATTATACTTTTGCATTTCGAACACTTAAATTTTGAAATGGAATTTTAGCAGTTTTTTTGCCTTTAATTTCTATTATAAAAAAGTGATTAATGATCTTGTTAATGGCAAAGCTCATGGAATAATTTTACAAAACAAAACACATTTTCAAAAGACAAAAATGTGTCATTAAAAAAACAAAATTAAAACAATTATAATTTTTATTGCCTATTGGAAGTGGTGGGGATAGGGGGGAGGGGTAGTTGCTGCTGAAGTGTGATTAAACTTTAGGGGCAGTGTCTAGCTTCTCGTGACATTTAATGGTTTAGTAGGAAAGATGTGATAGTAGTGGTAATGATACAATAATTGGGCCTTTATTAATGGAAGACAACATATGTATTTAGTGTAATATTTTACGACAAATAACAATAAAACATTATAAACAGTCTTACACTATCTTCAATATTTAATTTAAGAGAGATAAACTGTTTTGTGTTGTAAATAAAAACATTTCCATCAGGTACAATATTCAATCTCAGCTGCATTGGGAAACTGCGAAAATTCACTGAAGAAGATATAAGATAATGTGATAATATACAAACAATTAAAATAAGATTGTATAAATTATTCATTAAGTAATAATAAACTGTTTTTGGAGAAATAAATTATTTCAAGTCTTTACCCCTAAAAGTTATGCATGTAAATGCAATTTTTGGAAAAAGGTTTAAACTAACCTTTACAGGGCTTCGTATTGTTGACAATTAGATAACCTTGTTTACATACACAATCATATGAGCCTTGTGTGTTTTTACATTGTTTTGTCTCATCACAAGAGTAGGTGGGATCTAGACATTCATCTCTGTCTGAAAACAGAACAATATGACCATATTACACAGATTTTGTCATTTAGTACAATTAGAAATTCAGTGATTACACTGAAAATATTTGAAGGTTGTTACTTATATTTTAGTTGCTTGTAGCTACTTATTAACATAAAACACATGCATCTCTTTTAAAATCTATGGTTTAAAAATATTTAAAATTTGTTTTTAAAGTAACACCCTCAAATTTTATATTATTTTTATTTTACAAAACATTTCATTTGATCCGTTATAACTGTCCAAGAGTTGGTGATTCTTATATAAAGAATCTTGTATAATTTTTGTTTCAAAATTAGACAAACAATCCGGAAAATTCGGGGAACAATAATGTATGGATTAAGTATAATTATATTTCATAAGTAATAATTATTTAAAAATAAAGTGGTGCTTTAAAACAACAGAAGTTTGAGATAAAAGTTGATAAAATTTAGTGAATTTTAATTTTTGAGACAACATATCATTGATTGCTTGAATTTTTCACTTTCTTACTTAATTCTAATGACATGTTGTAGTGTGGGCCTATATCCAGAGACTAGCTAAGAATTTTTGACATTTTACTTGTTAGTACACACCTTGGCAGTCAGATCCATCAACTCTTTGATATCCTGAATCACATCTACACTCTGCAGATCCATTCAAATTAAAACAGCTCTCATGTACATCTGGGCAGTAGCTGGTGTTCAAACACTCGTCTATATCTGTTTCACAGTTAGAGCCAGTCCAGCCTGGTTTACATGTGCAAGTTCCATTGACAGCATTGCAGTTATTGCTGTTGTCTTTTACACATGTACAAATCTTCTTACAGTCCTGGCCATAGTGGTTCTCATCACATGCTAAAATAAAATGTAGACCACCACTTGTAAGGAATATCACACTCTGTACTATTTTATAAAAATGAAAGCAGAAAAATAATGAGTAATCGCTTATATCGAGCTATGGTCATTTGACAAAAAACAGAAATGTCTGAATGAAATGGAAGAATGTTAAATGAAAAATGATACCACTAAACTGAACAGATTGAGGTCAGATACTCATTGTGTAGGAAATATTAATAAGTGTTAGGGCTATCTAAGTCATTCTGTTTTTTTTTTAAAACTTCAAGGCACCTCAAAAAGTGTGCCCAAAAAAATTACAAAATGTATTTATTAATAACTATTATTTCAACAAGAGTTTGCATATTCATAGCTGCTGACTTCATTTTTTTGCATAAAAAGACTTGTAATTTGCATTTTGTCTACAAACAATAAAACAGTAAAAGTAGATACATTTTAACTTACACAAACAGCCAGTAGTGGAACTATAGAAGCCAATTTTGCAGACACATCTATAAGAACCAGGTGCGTTGACACACTCGGCATTGACTGAACATACATCACTTGTACTACATTCATCAATATCAGTACTGCAGTCTGGACCAGACCAGCCTTTTAAACAATCACAATTTCCATTTTCAATAAAACAGATTTGTGGTTTGGTGTTGGTAGTGTTGCAGGTACAATTTTCAGCACAGTTGGGGCCATAGAAGCCATATTGGCAAGCTGTAGAGATAAAATGAAACAGGCAATGCTTTTTATAACATCATTATTAGTAATGATCAATACAAAATACCATGCTTTGAAATTTTTGATTAAGCAGTACAAATGAATCACCAAATAACTCAATTTACCTCTGCAAGTTTTTTTGTCTTCTAAAAGTTCTGTCTTGTTTTGGCAGGAACATGAAAATGATCCATTACTATTGATACATTCACCACCAACACAAGGGTTATTTTCACATTCATTTATATCTAAAAAAAAAACAACAATTAACAGAAGCTCATGTAGTTCCTTATTCACTTGAATTTCGTAAAGTTTAGAATTAACATTTCCACTTTTTTAAACAATTCTATACATATTAGTACAATACCCGAACAATCATCAGTTTATAGTAGTACATTTTACATTTTTAAAAACAAAGGAAGCAAAGAAAAGAACATACCAACACAGGAATTATTAATCATGCTGTATCCAGAAAAACATGAACAGATCTGGGTATTATTTACTAGTACACACAACTGTTGACAGCTGTTTGATGCAGGACACTTCTGATTTAGGCTGCTAACTTAAATTTTACCAAACAATTTCTACATGTCAATTTCTTTACAACAAATTATAAGAATAATACTTTATTATCATATTAAAGATGATTTTAAAAATGTAATATCTGTTAACATTACATGATCTGGCAAGCAAAATGTTATTTTTTACTAAAAAATGTTATTTTTTACTACAATTATGTATACATGTAAATGAATTTGCAATGATAAATAATTATAAACAATTTAAATTTTAAAAAGTTGTATAATATATTGAAAACTTACTAATACAAGTATTTCTAGTTGTTCCATTTAATTCATATCCTTCGTAACATTCACAAGCAAATCCACCAATTGTGCTTCGACATTCCTGGTCACAGTTATTTAACTCTTTTACAGCACATTCATTTATATCTATTGAAAATAAAGAATTAAATTAGAAAATATATTACAAAAGTTAAATCAAAATTTTAGTGTACCTTTTTATGTAAACTGAACATTTTGTAATAAACAAGTTAATTAAAAAGTCTAGTGACATTTAAGCGCAATTTCCTTATGTTATCTAAAAATAGCTCTGTCGTAGCGTAAATCAAGAGCAGGGTTAGTAAAACCATTGTTTAGTTATTAAAACGTTTTTTATTAATTTTTTTTTTAGTATTTTACATGTTTTATTTACAATAGATTTACATGACTAAAAACCATTGCGCGCCTAGCTACCGCACGTGATGTCACAGCCATTGAACGTGATGGCGCAGCTATTGAACGTGATGACGCATGGGGTGTGGTTGGATAAAAATGCCTACTAATTCGGTCCAAATTTTAATAAATTCAAAAAAAAATTTGTGACCGATCGAAAGGATATTTTTGAAAACTTTCTTCGACAATATTGTTCTAAATTATGGCAGGAATCGATTGGTACATGTTTCAAGTCGCTAAGTGGTCTGGTTGCCGAGATATGGGCCAAAAACTGCATTTTTTCGAGGTTTTTTTGGCTTTTCGGGGAAACCCATGGAAGAAACCCGGAATTGTTTTGGCCTATGTTCATCCTCATAACTTGCTTAACATAATTGCTTTTGAAACTAGTCCTCGATATTGCTTCGTTGAGGAGGAGATACGACTTAAAGCTGCGGACACACATCCATCCATCCATTCATTCATTCATTCATACATCCAGAAATGACGGGTTAATAAACGCAATTCTCCAGAATGGAAATTGCGCTAAAAAATTAAAATTATTAAAGTATGAAAGCAAATATATCTACCATTGCATTGTGTTCCATTAAAAATAAAACCTTGAGAATAACAAGAGCACTGGAAGCTGTCTTGTGTGTTGGTGCAGATCTGGTCACATGGGGAACTCAAACATTCATTGATATCTAATAACAGATTTATATGTTTAAATATAAGTTTTTAATGTGTTGAACAACACACATGATTTACAAAAAAAAATCTGCAATAAAAATCTGCAACATAAATAAAACTACTACAATAATAACAAAACTAAAATACCTGAACACATAAATAAACAAAATATAACTACCTGTACAAGTATTGTTAACAAATGAATATCCCTCTTTACACTGGCAATAAAAAGAGCCAAATGTGTTGACACAACTTGATGTTACAGGACATGGTGGTACAAGACTTGAGCATTCATCAATATCATCCTGGCACCAAGTTCCTGCTCAGCCAGCTTTACACTGACATCCTTGCGTGGGGTCACATCTTGATGTACCTCTTGTGCTGCAGTTACATTCTGTGGCACAGTTCTCTCCACAGTGATATTCATCACATTCTAAAATAAGTTTAAGCATCTCAAGTTTTAAATTGCAAGTTTAATAAAAATAGTACAATATGTTCTTAATAGAATTGATAAATATGCATCAGATTTTAGTAAGCTTATTATTTGTAGAAAAGAATGAACACAAAAATGTAATTTTCAAGAAGAATTTTTTTTGTAATATGGCTAAGCAATATGTATAATATGAATTAAAATTATGAATTGTACAAATACATACAAATATATATATATATATATATATATATATATATATATATATATATATATATATATATATATATATATATATATACAGACATATAAATACCTTGACATGTTTTCTTATCATTCTGTAGTTTAGATCCAATTGGACAAGAACAATTATATGACCCTGGAGTGTTAATACAGCTACCATTGCATAGTTTCTGTGTTGCACATTCATCAATATCTTTATTAGATCAAAACAAATAAAAAACATTTAATTGGATGCTCTTTAATGTGATCTTTACTACTAAAACAGAAGTAAAAGAATGAGTAATTTTATTAAATGCTGTAATGCAATATATATAATATATACAAGACAACATGGCTTACCAAGACAGTCAAACTGGTTATTACTCAGCTGGTAACCTATAGCACAAAAACACTGTGCTTTTCCATTAGTTACAGTACATCCTTGACTACAGTTAAGGTAAAAGTTTTCACATGGATCAACATCTACAATATTAATTAAATAGTACACAATGTTAAAGCTTATAATAATAAATGCCCTATGAGATATTTTGAAATTATTTTCATATACATTTTATTTTTGAAGGTTGTATGAATTTGTATCAAATTTACAAATATATGACACATATAAAAATGGTTATGGTTGACTACAGTAGCAATTTGAAGTTATTATTATTTGATATTATTATTACGAAAATAATTTTAAGGTCAATGCATGCTATAAGTTACCATCTTTTTCACAAGTCTTCCTGTCATCTTTTAACCTGTAGCCTGGATAACAGTCACAGTTGCTACTTCCAGGGACATTGATACATTTTTGTTCACAGCCCGATTTGTCAATTTCACATTCATCAATATCTTTTGGGTTGGAAAAAAACTGTTAGTTAAATATTAATTTAATTCAAATGATTTATTAATTCGTAATCAGGTTGAGAAACAATACATAAAGACTTGAAGTTACCTTTACATGTGCCATTAGGAAGCTTTAAAAATCCATCTCTACACTCACAAATAAATGACCCTGGTGTATCAATGCATGTTTGAGGACAAGTGTTTCTTGTTTCACACTCATTAATATCTGGTTTGTTAAAAAGGAGTTTTTTTTTTATGTTTTGATCAATAAACACTAAAACAAATGTCAAGTTTCAAAGGTGTTTTTTAGTGTTTAAAGTAAAAAAGTAAAGAATTTATTGCACCGATGAAGTAGAATTCATATATTTCTTGACCTAGGCATATGAAGGGAAGGCATGGGTAGCACTTTGCCCAACCACCTTACTTTCCCTTACATGAAATAGGTACCCATCAGAGCTGGGTGGACTCAGGGACATTCAGAGGTGTAACGACCATTCCCGGCGCCCGGGGTCAACTTTTGATTAGCACCTTCCCTCAAACTTTTTATTTGCACCCCCCCCCCCCTCAAACTTTCAATTTGTTTTTCCAACCCATTTTGGCGCCCTAAGGTCGGCGCCCGGGGACATATGTCCCCTACCCCCTCTCTACCCCTCTGGGACATAATACTTGAAACTGGTTTCGAACTCAAGACTAGTGCTCAACCATGTAGGCCATGCATTCCTATTATTTAGTATTTTAGTATTTAGAGCAATACTATTCCTCTTACCTTTCAGTTCAACAGCAGCAGTTATGAGAAAACAAATTTGGGGTAAAAACAACACATTCAAAAATGCCACTTACATTAGGCAGCATAATGTATTTTAATTTTATTTAAACAATATTAATTGTTAAATAATTTTGTATTTTAAAATACAACACAACAATGGTATAACGGATAACTGTTAGCCTAATACTAATGAATAGAAAAGAGGTAAATTTCTCAATATTCTATTTTATTTCTGATTAAAATATAAATATGCATGAATAAAGTCATTTGAATCACTAATTAAAGCAATTTATGGAATTCTGAATATCCATGCATAAAACATTGCAACTGAAAATATATTACAAAATAATAAAAAAAAATTTAACTTACTAATACATGTTCCATTTATATCTTCGTAACCCACAGGACAGTCACAAGTATAAGAGCCTTCTGTATTTGTACATTTCTGATCCGCAGGACAGACATCAGGTTTACTGGCACATTCATCAACATCTGTTTCACATGTTTCTCCTTTCCAATTGCTCTGACAGATACAGCCTTTAACATTGTCACATCTTACAGCCCGTCCTTTACACTGGCATGTATTGCTACAGTTGTAACCATAGGTGTTGCCTTGACATGCTGGAAACAAAATAAAACTGATCAAAAAAGGAAGTGAAATAAACTAGTTGCAAATTAAAAATATTTAGCATTGACAAATGAATATTTTATTAAATACTATTAAAAACATCTTGGTATTAATTCATTTTAAAATTATTGTAAATTGTGCATTTCTCGTGAAACATTTCTAACAAAGCTGTAGGCCTACATATCATATGTTCAAATAGTTATAATTACATACTGTCACAAGAGCGCAAATCATTCTTGTTGAGAGTATATCCAGAGAAGCATGAACAACTGAAACTTCCGTTTGTGTTGATACAAATTTGTGAACAGATTTTCTCTTTGCATTCATCTATATCTGAGACAAAAGTAAACAAAGTAATATATAATCACAGGGTATGTTAAAGTTTTAAAATAAATGAGTGATTCATATTGATGTCATGCATGTATACTTTGAAAAAAATAAAATACCTTCACAAGTGTAATGGATTGACGATAGAAGCAGGTGGTTGTATATAACACGTTTATTGGGTCTAACTACATGTTGATAACCAGAGAGGAAGGAAGTACAATGCACAAGGGACATCACTCAAGATAACAATATAAATATAATACTAATACAGAAGAGTGAGTTCCCTTGACCTCACAATTATCTCAATCTATTACATCCCTTTACCCTTAGAACACAATAACACATCTCTCAATAGAACAATTGATAGTATCCTAAAATCACCAAATATATTGTAACATGAACATTATGGTAGATTACATCCTTACAAACAATGCACAATATGTTACAACACAATTAAAATACAAACAATGATGTCAAAGTCCTTTTGACCTTTAAAATCATAGGTCTAACTTATTTGGGACTTTGATTGTCCTGCTTGACCTTCTCAGTGGCTTTTGATTTGGTGACTCAAGATTCTGACCATCTGGATTCTCTATCTCAGGAGGTCTAGGATTTAAATCATTAACTCCAGAATTTACATTTTCTGACTCCAGACAACTTGGTTCACTCATATCAACAGAACCTGGTTGTGGAACAAACTGAGTTGGTGTGAACTGTTCAGATTTGGTGGGATTGACAGATTCACACTTATTATCTGCACAAGTTATTTTTAACTTTATAAGACACAGGTCCTGTACATTGAACAATTTGACCTGGTATCCATTTTTCCTTTTTCCCATAATTTCTCAGATACACATTATCATTAACTGCAAATTCTCTTTCAATGGATGATTTGTCATGATTTACTTTTTGTGTATGTTGATGTTGGGAAACAGACCTTTGAACAGTTGGATGTAGTAGGTCAAGATGAGTTTTAATTTTCCTACCACATAACAATTCACATGGTGCAACATCTGTTGTTATATGAGAAGTTGTGCGGTATTTGGCTAATAACCTGTTTACTCTTTCATTGTCACCTTTAGCTTCTTCTGTTTGGTATTTACCTTTGATGTTACCCTTTCTTTTAGTTTCTGTAAGTGCTAATGATGTTAGCAAAGTTGTTTGATGATCACATTCCTTCTTACTAATGTATTTGAAATTGCCATATCACCATAATCATTTATTAAGTTACAAATACTTTGTTTAGGCAACTCTGACTGATAATGGACTGCATCTTCTCCATCTTTTATATTATCTTCACAAAGGGTTTTATTTCTTATTTAATATGGCCTTAAGTCATCATTCACATTTATATTGGAGTTATCCATGATAGTGAAGAGAACAAATACATCTTCTGGTACATAGCTCAGGCTTTGGTTTTTTAAAGGTAATCTACTAAGACTATCTGCACTATTCTCAGATCCAGGTTTGTATTTCAATTCATAATTGTATGCGGCTAGTGTGATAGCCCATCTTTGAATTCTTGGTGAGGCATGCTCAGGTAGGGTTTTGTTTTCTCCAAATAAACCTAACAATGGTTTATGATCTGTAAAGATGGTGAACTTCCTACCAAACAGAAACTTATGAAATTTCTTAACACCAAAAATGATGCCTAAGCCTTCCCTATCTAACTGAGAATAATTTTTCTCAGCCTGGTTCAAAGATCTACTGGCAAAAGCAATGGGTCTGTCACCCTTCTCATCCATGTGGGACAAGACTGCTCCTACACCATCTGGTGAAGCATCACATGTTAATATAAGTCTTTTCCCTGGGTCATAGTGAGTTAGTAAGGTGTCAGAAGACAAAGCCTCTTTTGCTGTATTAAAAGCAGTATCTTGTTGTTTACCCCAGTGCCAAGTTGCATTTTTCTGTAGCAGCTTGTACAGTGGTGATAGTTTACCAGACAGATTTCCTATGAACTTTGCATAGTAATTTATCAAGCCCAAAAAAGCTCTTAGTTGTTGGGTATTTTCAGGTTTGGGTGCTTCTTTAATGGCTTTTGTTTTCTCAGGTTGAGGTCTGATACCTTGCTTGCTTAATATATAACCAAGAAAACTAATTTCTGTCAACATGAATTGACATTTATCTTTGTTTATCTTTAAACCTTTTTCACCAACAATTTTCAATACTTTATCAAGTGTTTTAAGATGTTCAGTGTCATTCTTACCAGTTATGTACACATTGTCAAAGTACACACAAACATTTGGAATGTCCTTAAAAATACTGTCCATGACAGCTTGGAAAATTCCAGGGCTAGATGATATGCCAAAACATAGTCTTTCATATTGGTAGAGTCCTTTATGTGTGTTTATTGTCGTATAGACTTTTGAATCTGGATGCAGTTCTAGTTGAGTGTAAGCATGACTAAAGTCTAATTCAGTGAATTTGTCTCCTCCTGCCAAATTCAAAGAAATTTCCTCAATGTTAGGTATAGGGTACCTATTTAGCTCTATTTGCTTATTCAGTGTAGTTTTATAATCTCCACAAATTCTTATAGAACCATCCTTCTTTAACACTGGCACAATGGGCGTTGCCCAATCGGAATAGTCTACCTTCTTTATGATGCCATTAGATTCCAATCTACTTAGCTCATTTTCAATTTTATTCCTCATTGCATAAGGTGGAACTCTAGCTTTGCAGTATCTTGGATTTGTGTCTTTAATGCTTATCTTCACTGTTCTATCATTTAGTAAACCTGAATTGCCAAAAACACTTTTATTTTCAGATATAACTTTATCTATTGAAGTAAGACTAGATTCTCTTACATTCTTCAATGAACAAATACTCTCCCAATTTAACTTAAGATCACTTAACCAGTTCCTACCTAGTAATGGTGGTCCATTTCCTTCAACCACAAGAAGAGGAAGTTTAACACTTTGACCATTATAACTTACATGAACCATACACTCTCCTATTACCGGAACATTGTCACCAGTGTATGTTGTTAGACACTTGTGACATGGCTGTAGAGGCACTGATCCTCCTGTGACAGCGTCAAAATCTTTCTTTGTTATGACTGTTAGAGATGCTCCAGTGTCAAGTTGGAAGCTGATGCTCTTACCGTTGATATTAACTGGTACATTGATGGGAGCATGACTTATTGATTTCACAGAGAACAGGTTGAAATCCGGCTGCGAATCAGTTTGAGCATTTTCACTGGTAGAGTGGTTCATTGGTTGGGTTAGGTAGTCTTGGTGAGAGTTAACATAGTGCTGCCTTTGGTTGCGGTACTGTCTTGACTGGCTAGATTTAGCAACAGACGAAGACTTTGCAAAGCAGGCCTTAGCAATGTGACCTTGCTTACTGCACTTATAACAAGTTGCAGACTTGAACTTGCACCGATGAGATGCATGGGGACCCTTGCATCGATGACATTTTTGATAATTATTACTAGATTTAGATCTAGGATTTGAACGAGCAGGCTGTTTAGCATAAGTTGGAATGCTCTGTTGGGGTTGATGTTTATTGACTAACCTGCTGTTTACTGCATGGATCCCTGAAGGCGTAAGAGATTTCGCCGCATCTGATGACTGCTGGAATGAAGTTGCAAGTTGTATTGCTTTTTCCAAAGTTAGATCTGACTCGAGCAGCAACTTTCTTTGTATATCAGGGCTGTTTACACCTGTCACAAACTTTTCACATAGTCTGTCAGACAGCGTTTCTCCAAATTCACAGAATCTACTTAAATGACGTAAAGCAGCAACATATTCTGATATTGACTCGTTTGGTTGACTAGTCCTACTGTCAAATCTAGCTCGACATAGAAACTTTGATGGGGTAGGCGCATGGTGGTCTGTTAGCAATTTGCTCAGCTCGTTAAAGCTCTTGGTAGTTAGACTAGCTGGTGCGCATAAGTCTTTTAGTAGCCTAAATTGTTGAGGCCCTATGACTGTTAACAAAACAGCTCTCTTTTTGGCTTCTATCGTCACGTCGTTTGCTTCAAGGTAAAAGCTTAACCTATCTAGGTAATCTTGAATGATTTCATCATTCGAATCAAATTCTTTTATTTGGCCATACAGCGCCATTATTCTAGAAATACTTAGCTAATAAGCTCTAGCAAACCTCTTTTTTTGCGTAAATAGGTGCTCTTTCTAGTAGATTTTTATCCTCGTCGCCAAAATGTAATGGATTGACGATAGAAGCAGGTGGTTGTATATAACACGTTTATTGGGTCTAACTACATGTTGATAACCAGAGAGGAAGGAAGTACAATGCACAAGGGACATCACTCAAGATAACAATATAAATATAATACTAATACAGAAGAGTGAGTTCCCTTGACCTCACAATTATCTCAATCTATTACAACAAGAATAGTTGTTTGCTTTTAATTTATACCCTGATGCACAAAAACATTCTGCTCCTTTACTGCCATTTCGACAATTGTATTCACAAGACTTGTTGATTATTTTACAAGGGTCTATCATTAGAAAAGTAGATGGTTGCTATTATTAATGATATTTCATAACACAAGTGTAACAACATGAATTCTTTGTTGTTGTGGGTTAGTTTTCACACAGGAATACAAGCAATAGTGGCAACTTCAAATGATGACTTTATTTACACTATATACAATGAGAATGATAAATCCATAGTTATTCATGGTAAATCCATATTAGAAGATACTCAACAAGTACAGTCACAGTCACGACTCCAAGTCATGGAGACATCTTACATTCACTGCCACAGTTCAAATCCCAAGTCCTAGCACACAACACCCGTTCACCTTTTGCTCTCCCTTTTATACGGTCCATTCTCTCCCCTTACGTACATGAGCGATCTCACCCAAAAACATGAAAAAACACATGACGATCGCTCAGACAGTCCTTCCGCTAGCCAGGTACTCTTCATTCATGCAAAACACAATATAATAAAGATACATAATAATACAGTCTGTGACACGTCCCCCCTTCGAATAAAATTTTGTGTAACAAAATTTATAAATACAATATTAGTAGGGCAGGATCATGTGCCAGACAACAAAATTTATAAATACAGTATTGGTAGGGCTGGATCATGTGCCAGACAACAAAAAATTGTGTACAATTCAAAGTAGAGTAAAATATATTCATTTTAGACTAAGCACTTGTAGTCATAAATTTATAGTGCATACAAATACAACAGTATGTAGTGACTGTATCAGTGATAATTAAAATATGTCAGTGTTTTGAACAAAAACTTTAAATGTACAAGCATTATATGTAATATTTAATGCATCAATATACATTCACATAGGAGAAAAAAAAACATTTCAATTACCCAGTAACTGTAGTATAAAAAAACTACATTAGTTGGGATAAATAATATACCAAACTAATTTGGTATAGGACTTAATTTCAAAACATAACACATAGTTAAAATACTTAAAGACATGAATTAAATAATTATATCCTATGTAGTAAAACAACCTTATCATCAAGGCATGTTATTACTACACATAAGTAATATACCTTATTGTCTCCCCTAGTCAACCCATTTCAGTCATATCTAGGTCACAACACAACATTCTTGCCTTTCACAGGTATCGACTAATACAATTCATCATTGAGACTTCCGTCTTATTGTTATGCGGAATAAATAGTCTCTAACTTTTACTTGATTTACTTTATTCACTGTTAATTAATAGTATAGAATAGGTTTAACATAATACAGTTTACAATCTTTTGAAATAGTATACAATTTATATTACTGATACAAATTGTTTGATATCCATATTTTACAGTTACAGACTGTCTAATATTAATAAACAGTCAATTGATAATTTAATCTTAGCATCCTTGTTTAACTCTATAGCATGAGTAATCGTTCTTGTGTAGTTGACAATGACCTGTTTGCCATCTCTCCCTCACACTGTATGTGTAGCTTTTAGCTTTGCTACCATAATCATTTCCTAGACTTCGTGTAACTTGTGTTACCTCATTTGTTTTAATATTCTCCTCTGGTTTCTGAACAACGTTAGTAGTTTTCTTACTTTGTGTACGTTCGTTTGGTTTATCAACCAACTTAATATAAAAATTATGGCATTGCTTTGGCCTCTCATAATATGTGTTGCGTTGGTAACTTCCATTAGTATACCTATTCACACTTTTGTTATTCTGATTTGAACTTGATACATTATTTCTTAAATTACTGTATTTCTCACATGACTTTCTGTGTACATAATTGTTTCTTCTCTGATTTGCCAACCTATGCCAACATTGGTTTTGGTAATGACCTGTTTTTCCGCAGTAAAAACATCTAGATTTTGGCTTCTTATAAACATGGTGACTGTATTCATAGTTTGCTAAATTTCTTTTTTTTCTTTCTGTTACATTGATGGATTAGATTGAAGTCAGAAATCTTCAACGAAGTTACAGTGTTACCACAAGTGATCAAAGAATTGTCACATTATTATTGTAAGCAGTTTTCAACGTTTTTGAAGTGGTCTTCCACTGTTTGCCAGTGAACAACGCTGGTATATCAAGCAAGTACATGAAAGTATTAATAGTTATCTACAGTCAAGTCAAGTAATCAACGTGATAATTATTATCACATTATTTTCGACATTGTCTTACCAATGTCGGATACATATCGTCTGTAACAGATTACTGTTACACCTACAAATGTGTGGTTTTTTTTCTATTTGGATTTAGCTGTTCAAGTTTTTTCTATATGGATTAGCTGTTCAAGTTCTTCTACTGTGGATTAGCAGATCTAGTTTATTAATTGTAAACTGTTCCTAAAGATGTCTTATCTAAAACTGGACAAATTTCTACTCTGTAACAGGCTACTAGAACTATTTTGAATTTTTTCAACTTTTTGGAATCAACAAAGTGAACTATTTTTGGACGTATATATGTACTATGAACTTTTCTTGGATTACCAGATGTCTGTAATCAACTAAAACAAGCCAGAAACCAAGAAAGGGTATTGTAAATTAATTAACATTTATCTATTGTCAACTAATGAATTTATATTTTATGTCATAAATAGAAAATATATCAAAATGTTATGTTTTGAAGAATATCTAGCACTAGCGAGGGCGCAAGGCATTAAGAAGATGAAGAAGCAGATAGCCTGGGCAAACACTCGATTTGACAGAGACATAGAAAAAGCATTAGAAGCATGGGACGAAGAAACAGGACGACCCCGACTAGCTCATGGAAAAGCAATTAGAGAATTAGATGATGAGATAGAAATAGAGCGTAATAAATCAAGAGGTATTACAGAAATGCAAGAAGAAGAAAAAATGTCAGATGGAGATAAAGTAGAAGAGACTGTACAACCAAAAGGAAAAAGAAAAAAAAGAAACAGAAAACAGAGAGCAGATAAAAGGGCTGAAACTTTGGAAAAACAAGTTGGCCTACATGAACTAGCAACTTCAAATGATGACTTTATTTACACTATATACAGTGAGAATGATAAATCCATAGTTATTCATGGTAAATCCATATTAGAAGATACTCAACAAGTACAGTCACAGTCACGACTCCAAGTCATGGAGACATCTTACATTCACTGCCACAGTTCAAATCCCAAGTCCTAGCACACAACACCCGTTCACCTTTTGCTCTCCCTTTTATACGGTCCATTCTCTCCCCTTACGTACATGAGCGATCTCACCCAAAAACATGAAAAAACACATGACGATCGCTCAGACAGTCCTTCCGCTAGCCAGGTACTCTTCATTCATGCAAAACACAATATAATAAAGATACATAATAATACAGTCTGTGACAACAAGAAACATTTAACACAGTAAAATAGAAGGCATCAAATAATACATTGTAATAAACACAACTTATTAATAAAGTTAGTTATTTTTTTAAGATACCTTTTTCTGTCAGTTCACATTTGCCACCAGTCCTAGCAAACCCTGGGTAACATCTGCAATCATAACTTCCTAAGTTGTTAACACATATTTGATCACAGTCATGTGATTTCTCTGAGCATTCGTTGATGTCTGTGGGCATATTATTTAAATTTACTTACAAACAATTAATATGCTTTTAAGCTAAAGATTTTTCGTATCATGTAATATAAATAAAAGATAGCATTGTAATGTCAATGTAAATATTTAAATAATATAGTTTTAATCTAATGTAGTAGTACAAATATAGCTACACATTAAAATGTTTAATACTTACCAGCACAATTGAGTGATCCAGATTTTCTGAAGCCTTTTAGGCAGTTACAAACAAAACTACCATAATTGTTCTTACATATAGCATTTGCACCACAAGGTGGGGTGTTCTTACATTCATCAACATCTTTGAACAAAACATAACATGAGATGTTAAAATATTAAAGAAATAATTAAACAACAAATACGATGGAACTCTTACTCTTTTAGATAAATATAACTTAGAATAATTACAAAAAACCAACCTTCACACTTAGTTTTTTTTAGAATTCAGTTGATAACCAAGAGGACAATCTTTACATGTGTATGATAACCCAGTGACTTGTTCTTCTGAAGCTGGTATGTCTACACAACCTGTCATGCTGGGGCAAGGATTGGTAGCACAGCCATCATTGTCTTTTTCACAGTCTGTACCTGTTAGTTGCATTAATAGCTGAAAGTCTAATTTTTATTTTGACAGAGTTGGAATACTATATGCATAAGAATATTTTACCATTACACAGAAATAAATCATCCCTGGTTAGGCAGAATAATAGATTTTTAATTAAATATTAAACATAAAAGTATCACTTTTTAAGACAAAATATTAATGTTAAATATTTGTACTAATGGCAAAACAATAGTACCTAAAACTTATTTAAAAAGCTGTCAAATAGTGTTTTTTTTCTTTGTCTACTTGAGGAATGTTTAATTTCACAAAGGTACAATAAATTTATTCTTGTAAGATTTAAGATTATTTTTTTTAATATATAAAGACAAACCTTTCTATTCTTTGCGATAACCTTAAACTCAGTTTAACTTAATTGACAATATATTTAAAATAAGCTTCAATCCAAAAACAAAACCCATTATAAAATAAAAAGAATGTATATTTATAACTATTAGTATTATAAATAGAAATTAATTAAAAGGAACCTGCAAATCCAATGTTACAGTTGCATGCTTCCCAGTAAAAATATGGATTTAATGTTGCTCTAAGCCTAGCTTCATCGCATGTACCACAATAACTACATCCACTACATGCAGAAATATTGATTGCTATTGATTCTGAATGCAGTCCTTTACTATCAGATGATGAGAACCTGGGTTTAAGCAAAAGAAAATGTAATTTTATTAAGACAAAATAAACCTTTTGAAAAAGTATGTAACATTTGATTTTAAAGACATAGAGTATTATTACATGTAGACATTTATTATAATATAAAGTATGCTTACAAGATCTGAGTTTCAGTGTCAGGCAATACAATTTAATAAGTTGATGCAATAGCTTTTGATGTGTCTCTCTTATTAATAGTTTTAACAGTGTAATTAGCATTGGTCATTAAAACAACAGTAACATCTTGACCATCAGGATCAAAAGCTGTTAGAGTTAGGCTGAAAGATTGATTCACGGTGGCCCTAACATGTGTTGTGTTGACAATAATATTTGGGGCTTGGTTTGCTGAAGATTAAAATAGTGCAAAATATTCATGAGCTTTTTCATATTAACAAATTATTATTAAAGCGTAAATAGTGTTACTTATTTTTAAATTTTGCAATTTAAATTATAATTTTTATCTCTATTTCTTTTTATATATTTCAATGTTTAGTGACTTGCAGAATGATTTTGACAAAACAATAATCAGCATTTTTTCTTGGATAAAATCAGCAAAACATTATGTTTTATGTTTATATTTTTGATAAATTTCAACAAAACTTAAATGCATTTAAATGTGTTTGGAATCAGAAACTTAAAAATTATAATCTAGTGCTGTAGTTTTTGCATTTACCTGTGCTAACTGATACTTTTTCAAATTGATCTGAAGACTTTAAAGAAGTTTCAGCAATTTTTTCATTCTGTGTAGCAATGAAGTCAAAAATACAAGGAAGATTTCCTGAACCATTACAAATCTTTTCAGCTTCTGCTATTGTTGTAGGATTTTGTTCATCATAAAATAATGGTGTGAAATTAGGGTTAGAAAAAGTACTTGTGTTTTGTCCATAGCTGTACTGGAATAAGCTTTCATTCTGAGTTATTGCCCCTGAAAATAAAATAAAAACCAATGGAGAGATATTTTTTTAATTGTTGCTACTTATTAATTTTCTAGTTGGAAAAATGTTAATTTGCTGGAAAAATATATAATTTGGAAGAGTTAAATACATACATGATATTTTGTTGATTTCATATGTCTTATTAAACATAGAGCAGTAAATTCAAACACCAAACCAAATAAACAAACGAAAAAATATTATGTAAACTATATTAAAAGATTTTCAGAGCTAGTAACTAATGGTATTTTAAAATGTGGAAAATACATTGTATACTCACATAGCTTTCCGTACTCATATAATTGTTTTTCACTTGAATCATCAGAGAGTTGTGTTCCATTTGGGCAAATAAAATCATCAGTTTTGTCTCCATTAAAATTGCCTAAAAGACCAGTGGTCATTTTTTGATGTTTTTTGTCCAGCGTGAGGGAAAATTCTAGTAATTCATTTATCATTGTAACTGTGATCCCAATACCTGCAATAGATGTTGAAATTAATTAACAATTTGTAAACAATTTCCTATTCCTTATAATGCTGTATCAAGGGGGAAAATGTAGTATCAGTGTGATTATGAATCTTTCACAGTAGCTAGTTAAAAGATACTTAACCTCTTTAACTCACAGTAAAAACTAGTTCTTCAAAAGCAATTCAAGATAAAAGCAATAAAAGATAAGTTAATGCTCACAACAATACATACAAACTTACAGGTGAAGCAAAAAGTAAATTAGATAAAATAAAAGCAACTTACTTTCTAGAAGAGACACTTCTAAAGCTCCATTTTGTTTTCTTAATATCATTTTATTATCATTTGTAAAAAGATTAGGGTTACTTAAGAATTCTGTTGTATAATCTCTTTTATTAGCATATATTATCATAACTGAAAAAAAAGAATAATAAAAGTAGGAATATTGTATAGATTTACATACTTAAATTAACAAAATTCATTCATTAAAGCATTCACTTTACAGAAAGTAACAGTGTTTCTTTTCATCTGTCCTAGGGGGGAGGGGTGTGGGAAGAGACACCCTGTTACAGTAAAGCTATCATACTGATATCCTAGATATATGGCCCCCACCAACTATTTCTCTTATTAATTAAACTGAATTCTCAGTGAAACCCAGTGTAGTTTTTACTAGCTCTGCTAAATGTTTACATCTGGTTTTAGCACTGCGGATTGAGCCATTTAGGAATATGAGCTTACATAAAAAATTTTATTTACTATATTAATTTGTACTCATATTTAATTATCAATGTTTTAAAATAATTTTAAGATAAATTCATTACCTAGTCTTGTAATTTCCCTTGTTTTTTGTAAGTAATTTTCAATTTAATTACAGGCAGTAAACTGTGTGCAATGAATTGTCATGTAGTCATTGGGCCTGGTTATTAAATTTTACTAACTACTGTTGCCAATGACTCACTTTACACCACAGCATACCATACATCAATTATTACTTTAACATTTTACCCTGCCCATGTACCAGCTTAGAACAGAAACATGTATACTTTGACCAGTGTCCTGGAAGTTTCATGTGCCCCCCCCCCCCCCCCCTCCCTGGAAGTTTTATCTGACATCCCCCCGCCCCCCCCCCCCCCCCTGGAAGTTTCAATTTCCCCAAGTCTGGAAGTTTCAATTGCCCCCCCCCCCCCTCCCCAGAAGTTTTCAAGTGATCCTCCCCCCAACCTGGAAGTTTCAATCTCTTGAAGTTTCAAGTGAGCCCACCCCTCCCCCCCCCCACTCCCCTTTCCTGTAAGTTTCAAATGACCCCCAAATGTTTCTACAGCCCCCAGAAGAAATTGAAATTTGGAACTGTTTTATTATACACAGCTACTAAATAAAAATAAAAAAGATCAAACTATATATTTTGTAGTTTCCATAAAACATGATTATACTATTACATTACTATATTGTATAAAAGTGATTAAAGAATATCTATATATATAATTATCTTCTGGGAGATGCTAGAAAACAAGCTGTAAGTGCACTCCCTACCACCCCACCCCTAAATGGTCTGGTGAGCTGTGGTTCACGCTAAATGTTTACATTCATAGAGCTGGGTTTAGTGACGGCTATTAGGGGCAGATAATTTAGTTTGAAACTATTTTAAACTTAGGGGAGGTAACTAAGAGGAGGCTGCTTTAATGGGGGGTGTAGGGTAGGGGTTGGGGGAAAGGAGGGTAGGGGTAGTATCATTCTTAACGACCTACTGATAGTGTTTTAAAGCAAATATTTTCAGTGGCAGCATTGGTACTGTCAAATTCACAAATTATAAATTACTGAAAAGTAGAAAATAAAACAACTAAATGATATGCCGCGGGTCTGCTCGTTTAACATTTATTCTTACTTTTCCTTGAAGGGCTTATTTCTACTCTGAGTGAATTTTCATCACCACTCGTCATTGATAGAGCACACCAGACTGTGGCTAGAGTTTCATTGCCATTACTGTTTAATGCACGACAGGTTCTACCCTAAAGAATTATAAAATAAGTTGCTTATTCAAATGTTAATTGATATATTAATTTTTATCATAAACATTAATATTTAGCCAATAATTATGATATAATGTTTATATGATATTTATAATTTTTTTGGACAAATATTAAGAATTTGCTTTATAAAAATCTTCAAAGAGATTGTTTCTTTAATGCTCCTAGGTTTAAAACAAAAGCAAAATATACTTATTATTACCTGCAATTTAAAATGCGGGTTTGTAGTTCCTATTATTTGCACTAAGTGATATTCTCCCAGTCCATTAAATATGAATGATCTTTGGTCCATGGTTATTATGTGGGGGTCTCCAAACAAAAAACCTGTGAAAAGTATTTGTAATAAAATGTATTTATGTTTTCATGTAATTGTTTTCCTTACTGTTTTATAAGTAGAGTAGTAGTGGTTTAAATAAATAAAGCAAAACAATATGTATCAAGTCAAGAGCAGTTTGCCTGTTTTAAATATTTATTTTATAACAAAAAAATAAAAATATTTCTGGATATTGGAGCTATATTTCTGAATATTGGAGCTAAGATAATTAAATTGTTAATATAGAATGCAATAACTGACACATTTTTAATTCAGTTTAAATACATTTTTACTTATTTTACTTTTACATTAGAAAATGTAAAATAAGTACAATAAATGTTAAGCTTAAAATTCTTTACAAATTGTATAATCTTACCTCTAGCCCAGTTACTCCCATTGCATGAGAAAATTGGTCTTAAAGTATAGTACAGGTCACACAAGTTTGACTTAGTACAACACCAGTCTTTAGGGTCTTCATCCAACTGATCGTGTTCTTTGTAAATGAAAGAATTATATCTCTGAAGACTTCCAGCTTGTGGGATTGTATTTAAAAAACTTGAACTTTCATCAGCTTTGTAGCAGCATCTCTGAAGAAAAGAAAATCAAAGAAAATATTTTTCATCTTGTATAGAAGATAGAAAAAATTGTTTTGTTAATTGAGGTCAAATATTAAAGCTATACCCTTCCATATTCTCCAAAAAACGGCAATAGATCAAAGCATGTTCTATCCAAATAGGCTAGACTGCTAGGAACACAGATTGGGCTACTTTTGGCAGCAACTTCATTACAAGGGCAGGCAGGTAGTAGGTTTTTGTTCCAGAGATCTATAGCTGCTTATAAAAGATTTTTAACATTTATTATAATTTCAAAACATTGGAATCATATATTTGAATTAACTGAACTGATAATCATGTCATGTACTTAAAATATAAAAAAAATAGTTTTAAAGACATTTTTTACTAGGCAGTTCTCCTTGATTAGAGATAAACCATGTACGGCACATCATCTTAAAATTCTTATTTTCTCCAACTTTAAAAATCCAAAGACCAGGTTTTCCTGTTGTAACAAAACATAAAATTTTTTTTATCCAAAAATCAGTATTGTATTTTAGTCAAAACATGTAATGCTTTTCGTGAAATCAATATAAACCAGTTTAATAAAATCAATGCTCATTTACTACTATTTATCTTGAGAGTCTTTAGTACTATAGACTACATACCAGTGTTGCCCAAAACTGTATCAAATCTGTAGTAACTTGTAAGTGAGGTATCAAAGCTAAAATTTGCCCAACCGACTTCAACATTTCTGGCTGATAAGGGTTTGAATTTCATTGCACCTTGGATGTAGATGTATATGGCATATGTTGTATAACCATCTGATATTATGACACATTGGAATGAGACACGCTATGAAGAAACAAGAAAAAAATCCAATTGTAATATGATTTCAGATTTTGTTGCATAAAAACAAATGTTTAAGGAAATGTAACAATGACACACAATTTATGGGGTGTAGGAAATTGGTCTATAATAGTTACAATGGAAGATAATTGTTTTTGTGCCAATCCTATATTGCATTCTATATAGCCACATATATAGCCTACAAAACAATATACTAATTTGCAAAAATCAGAACATTCTTTTAGACAAATTATATAAAGAAGATGCGTGCTAAAATCAAAATACCTCATCCACACTTCCATGTGCTGGTATATTAACCCATGTAACCACAATTACTGTTGTAGCATTGTAGCTTTTATTTTCTGTGAGAGCCATAACATCTGCATTGGCTTTGGTAAAAACAGCTATGCCCAAAGTTTTATTAGAATACAAGTCATACATCTGAAAAAATAGATTTAACTGTGTGATCATGGTTAAGTTTACAATTATTAAACTTTTTAAAATTTTCAACAAAAGAAAAAAAAACATACAATTAATTAAACTATTTCAAAATTTGATTAGATGATATTAGATAAATTTCATAATAAATTAAAATAATAAAGAAAAAGTATATTTCACAATACTGGAATGTTATAAATTACCTGATAGTAAACTTCACAATTATCATTATCGTTAACATCAAGATCAGTCCAGTATACAGCCAACAGACTGCGCTGATTTAAGTTTTTGTCTAACACTGGCAACTTTTGTGGATTAAAACTGGAATACTCTTCATCAAAGCTTATAAGGCCATTAACTGTTATCTGTTAAGAAAAATATTTTAACAGAAACCCATATAGCGTATAAAAGGGTTAAAATATTGATTCACGTGAATAAATAAAAATGAGCAAAATATATTTCAGTTTATAATAATAATAAATAATGTTATTAGCTTACTTACCTAAACAGAGCTAATTAACTTTAGCTGATAAGGGATGAAATCTTCTATGTACAAGTTAGCTGATGCAAGTTCTTTATTTTTTGGCAATGATTGGTCATTTTGAACAAGGCCATAGGGATAGATACCTATTAAAGTAATAAACAGGTGAAAAATATAAAAATGAAATAATTAGACACATTATCATAGCTATCCAGAGCATAAGTAAAGATTCCTCTTTAGATCTAACGATCCATTGGGCAGATGAAGTGGAGTTCATAAATGTTTCTTGACCTCGGCATATAAAGGAATAATGTGGTCAGCACTATGCCCAGCCGCCTTTACTATCCCTAATATGATTGAGGTACCCATTAGAACTGGGTAGATTCAGGGATGTTCCACTAACTTGAACCTGGATTCAAACTCAAGACTTTTGGCTTAGCGTTGTAGGAAACAGTAATATTCAGAGCATATTATATATCTAACCCACGAAATTGGAAGATCTGCCAACGAAAACATGTTCTGTATGATTGAAGAATTCAACTATCATTATGAATGGATGATAAAAGTTTCACTAACAAACCATCCTTATTTTTGTTAGTTGTGTTTAAACCATATTTAAGAGGTTTTACTTACGTGAATCATTCAGTCTAAAAAAAAAACAAAAAAAAATATTGTTATTTCAAATAATTAATAGCCATTGTGGTTTAATTTTATAATCTGTTAGAATAAATTCTTGATCACTTTGTAGAAATTTGTTTTTGTATTAACTCATTTAAGCAAAACAAGTTATCCATATCTTACCTACAGATCCATTTACCAGCTGTTTCATTAAAGCAAACTTCTACATCTGTACAATTGGGACATAAAGCTAGGGGAAGGAAAGTATTTTATATTAGTAAATTAATTGTTTAAAATGTGGGCAGTAAATGTTACATTTTACTAAAAATAATTTTTTTTTAAATTCTATAAATTGAATTATTATTTTGTCTATATGTTTATTTCACTGAAATGCAAATTAGTTAACTAATACCTTAATACACTATCCTTTAATATGCCATAATTACTAAAACAGGATAATTCTACTTAACTCTGCCCATGATCCATAAGGTTCAAAAGGGTGATTTACTTATTAATATATTAATATACCTTGACGATTTCCACTGGAAAGCTTTTGATAACCATTATCACATCTACATTCTGCAGACCCATTTAAATTAAAACAGCTTGCATGTACTTCAGTGCAATAATTTTTATTATCACATTCATTTATATCTTTTTCACAATTGGTTCCATTCCATCCAGGAGAACATAAACAAGCACCAGATGTTCCATTACAATATTTGGTGTTTTCCATGACACAGGCACATTTCAAAGAACAATCCAAGCCATAGTGTGTTTTGTTGCATACTTTTGGAGAATAGAAAAGACATACTTATTTTTTCTTAATTTAATTTTTTTTAAAGCATATTATATCAAATTTTTTTTAGTCTTTTCTATCTGATAAAAAATTTACTAAATACAAGATTAAATATGTACCATAATAAACATAAATAGGTTGTTTAAAACATACATGTAATTGACTAAAAATAATTGTTAATTAAATAAAAATTATTTTATTAAAGCTATTAAAAAACCAATGACAATGCATATATAATTACATTTTCAAAGCTTAGTAGTAAATGTATTTACATAAATTCATCAGATTATCATTTATTTTCTACAATTGAGCTTACATAACAGAATATATGTGATCTAAAAATATTAGCTAATTATAGTTTACCTTGACAAGCTCCATTCGTTTTTTCATAGCCAGGCACACATTTGCACTCAGCAGACCCATTTAAATTGTTACATTTTTCATGTAAACCGACACAGTAGCTGGTACTCAAGCATTCATTGATATCTGTATCACATTTTGTACCAGTCCATCCTAATGCACACAGACATGATCCTGTTGTGTCATTACAGTCTATTGTGTTGTTCATGACACAAGAACACTTGTTCCCACAGTAGAAGCCATATGATGTTGTGTTACATACTATTATAAAGAAACATGTTACAATTTACTTAGAAGAAATATTGATCTAAACTAATTTTTTTTGTGGAAAAACTTTGAAAGATTATTTAGAAATGTTTTTTAGTTTCTCGTATATACGAAGTATAGAGAAAGTATTGTAATCGTGCAGAAAAATAACATGAAATTTTGAGTTTTCACCGTTTTACTCCTCAGTCCTTCATCACATCCGGAGTATAGAGGACTTATTTTAATCAGGCAAAATTTATAAATACAAATATATAAATGTTTTGGCGTTTTATGCGTTAGCGAGTCGTAAAAACTGGACTTTGCAATTCTGTCCGTATGTCTGTGTGTCTGTCTGTGTGTAAACACGATAACTTGAGTACCGTTACAGCTAGGTTGATGAAATTTCATATATAAGTATTTTATAAAAATCGTAGATCCTTATCAACTTTTGAGCGATTTCCGATAAACGGAAGTGGTCCTTTTTCTACTTTGATTTTTTCAAAAGCCTATAAGTTGCGTACTATTTTAGATAGATGCATGAAATTTCACACGTAAGTACAATATCTAATTCTCTACCTTCTGTCAAATTTTGAGTAATTTCCCTTGACCGGAAGTACTAATTTACGCTATTTCCGATTTCTCAAAAAAACGCATGTAAATTTATAAAGTACTAATAATATCCCGCACTTGTATACACATTTTATAAGGCGTTCACTTGGTGTGGGACGGAGTGGTCTAGCGATAGAGAGCTGGACTGCTAACCCGTTAGTCTCGAGTTTGAATCCGAGTTCAAGTCAGTAGACCGTCCCTGAGTCCACCCAACTCTGATGGGTACCTAACTCCTGTTAGGGAAAGTAAAGGCGGCTGGGCATAATGCTGACCACACTATCTCTTCATATGCCGAGGTCACAGAAACAAGTGAACTCTACTTCACTTGCCCCATAGACCGTCAGGTTTGAAAGGGACACTTTTCACTTGGTGTGCAATTCTTTTTTTACGAGATTCTATGCTATTATAAAAAGTTTAAGTAATTAAAAATGGATAACAAATATTGTCTATGTCCTGAGTTGCCATCCCTCGTAATTTTATATTAGAATATTCGAGAAAGTTTAGGGGAGATCACTCACGGTTTATTAATATTATATTATTTGAGCTATGTCACTAATATTAAAACTGTCAATAGATACATTTTTTTTAAATTGATAAGTCGAACAATTTTAGATAAAATTGTTGTGCATGTAAAAAAATAGTTTCTTAAAAAGAAAATATTGTAATAAATGTAGCAATGAAAAATATCACTTTTATAAACTTCTATAATAAGAAATCAGTTACCTTGACAAAAACCAGTTTTATTCTCAAATCCTAGTTCACATTGACATTCAGCTGTGCCTTGCAAGTTGTGACATTCTTCATGTATACCACGACAGTAGCTTTTATTTAGACATTCATTTATATCTAATTCACAGTTTGTACCATTCCAGCCACCTTTACATAAACAAGCTCCAGATGTATCATTACAATCAGCTGTGTTGTTGAAAACACAAGTACATTTTTTTTTTGCAGTTTGTGCCATACATAGTTGCACTACAAGCTGCAAAAACAATATAAATGACATATTATTAAACAAAGCATTCTGATATTAAAACTATGTACCTAAATTTAAAAATTATGAATTATATAATATTAATAACATGCAGTATTAAAATACAGATACTAAAAAAACTTTCATTGCATTAATGAAAAAAAAAATATGAAGAAATAATAATAAACAGTTTTATCAGACTTTACCAATATATTGATATATAAAATTATAAACCTATACTATTAAAATTAAGAAAATTAGAAAAATTTACTCTGATTGCAGGATGCACCACTCCATCCAGCTATACATGAGCAAGACCCATTTACATTGTCACAGTCTATTGTTTTGCTCATGTTACAAATGCATTGGTTGATGCAGTTTAGTCTAAAATGTGTTTCGTTGCATGCTGAGGATATATTTACTCATTAAAATTAATTTATTTAGATATAATTTTCACCATTACTTTATTTAGGTCAAGCCCATTCTTAATACATAAAAACATATTTTAATCTAATTTTTGAAAGGGAACTTTTTTCCCTACTTAAGGAAAAATAGTTTCGTTTTAGGAAATAAAAAACAATAAGATGATAAATTCTTTTAACAATATTTTAATAATTGAATCTTTTTTTTAAATAATGAATTCAATGTGCTTTCAAATACCTTGACATGTTCTATTCTTTTTTTCATACCCTGTTACACATCTGCACTCAGCAGACCCAATAAGATTGATGCACCTTTCATGTTGACCTGAGCAGTAGCTAGTATTTAAGCATTCATTGATATCTGTATCAGTGGCGTAGCGAGGTCGGGTGTCACCCGGTGCGGCACTTAATGGTGTCACCCCCCCCCCCCCAGAGGCGTAGCGACCCTTCCCGGGGACAAACTTTCAAATTTTCGATTTGCACCCCCCCCCCCCTCAAACTTTCGATTTGCACCCCCCTCGAACTTTCGATTTTCACCCCCCCCCCCCTCTATATATTTAGCTATTTTTTGCCTTGGTGTCACCCCCCTAAATGGTGTCACCCGGTGCGGTCCGCACCCCCCGCCCCCCCCTCGCTACGCCCCTGATCTGTATCACATTTTGTCCCAGTCCATCCTGATGCACACAGACATGACCCTGTTGTGTCATTGCAGTCTACTGTGTTGTTCATGACACAAGAACACCTGTTCCCACAGTAGAAGCCATAGAATGTCGAGTTGCATGCTGAAAAAACAATTTTAAAAAAAATTAACTGAATTTAAGAGACACATAACTTATGAATGTTAAAGTTAGATAGTAAAAAAAAATATAAAAAATGAAATACTGATACCTAGATTTGCATAAATATTAATACATTATTCTTATTAGTATCAAGGTCTACTTAGCGAAAGATATAAAATTTATGAACGTAGATCTTTGTTTAAAATTTTTTAAATTTTGTGGTTGTACTTAAAGTAGACTTGTAATTCTTAAATAACAATGTTTAAGCATTTATTCTTGTTATGAATAAAAAAGTGAATATATGTTTAAAAGCCGGTAAATTTAGATCAGCTTCATCTATAAAAGTTTCATTAACTGAAATGTTAAGAACAATTTAAAATTTCAATGTTTCCCTCACTACCATTCACATAAAAAAAGGATTTACCATGACAAACCCCTGTTTTGTTCTCAAATCCTAGTACACATCGACATTCAGCTGAGCCAGGCAAGTTGTTACATTCTTCATGTATACCATGACAGTAGCTTTTATTTAGACATTCATTTATATCTAATTCACAGTTTGTACCATTCCAGCCACCTTTACATAAACAAGCTCCAGATGTATCATTACAATCAGCTGTGTTGTTGAAAACACAAGTACATTTGTTTTTGCAGTTTGGGCCATAGCTTGTTGCATTACATTCTGTTGTAAAACGGTAAATTAAAGCAATGATAAGTATAACAATTTTTCAACTAATGTTTATTTAAGTAAGTTATTTTGGAAATAAAAACATATTTATTATTTATAACTTAGAAACGTTATTAAATTAACTTTTTCCTTTGCATCTGTTGATATAAGTCACTAGAGATATTTTGATTAATTTTGCAGCTAGTCTGCTTCTAATTAATTATCTATAATTTGTAACTGAGAAATGTTATTAAATTAACTTTTTCTTTGCATTTCTTATCGTTTATTTATGTTACTATACATATTTTAATTTCTTTTGTAGGCAGTCCAAGGTTCTAAATAATTGTCTTACTAAAACACATTTATCCTGGGTAACTCAGAAATGTTATTAAATTAACTTTTTGCTTTGCATTTTTTATCCTTTATTTATGTCACCTTGCATATTTTGATTACTATAGGTGCAAGTCTGAACTTCTTATTAATTATCTTACTTACGCATCTATAACAAAAGAGTTATGTGAATATGAAAAAACTTGCATTATTGCATGTGGGTGGTGATGGTGAAAGTAAGTCCTACTAAAATAATACCAGTAACAAAAATATTTCAATATAAGTATTCACAACCTTTGCAAGTTCCATTAACTTTATGATAGCCAGCTTCACATCCACATTCAAATGATCCAGCATAATTGTAGCACTGTTCATGTAAGTCCACACACAAACTAGTATTTAAGCACTCATCAATATCTACATCACAAAGAGTGCCATTCCAGCCAGTTTTACAGCTGCAGTATCCTGAGGTTTTATTACAAACAAAAGTGTTGTCCATATTGCAGTTACACAATAGGTTACAGTTGAATCCATAATGTGCTGCATCACACTCTGTAAGAAAATATATTGAATGTTTAAAATTATATTGATACACATTTTTATACTGTTTCAAATTATATCCTATACGGCAGTATAATTGCATTTCGCCATTGAATCAGTGAATTGTAAAAATGCCCTTCAACCTGATTTTTTAAAATTTACTACACGTAAAGTAGGCTAAGAGTACCATGAGTGAACTCAAAGAATTCTTAGAAAATCTGATTTATGTGCTTGAATTTCCAATTTTTATTTTAATTATTTATAAAATGCTTTCAAAATATTTAAAAAGATTTAAAATTTGCGGAAATATAATAAAGTATAAAAAATCAAATATAAAACAACAGATTAATTTTTTTTTAAAAGTTACCTCTACAAGAGCTGTCTGAAAATCTGTAATATCCAACATCACATCTACATTCAGCTGAACCATTCAAATTAAAACAACTCTCATGAAATTGGGTACAGTAGTTAGGAATTTTACAGTCATCAATATCCAGTTCACAGTCTGTACCATTCCATCCAGATTTACAAACACATTCTCCAGTGCTTCCATTACAGTTCAGTACATGTTCTACTACACAGCTACATGCATGTGAGCAGTTATAACCATATGCTGTTCCGTTGCAAACTAAAAGTAAGAAAACAAAGACAATTGAATAGTGTTTTTAATAAAATTATTGAAATTGAAGTGCAGTTGTACAGTGAAAAATTCAGAAGACTTCATAATTTTACCTTTAACATTTATTATTTTAGTAGAATGAAAAATTCTATATACTTTGTGATGTTACCTTTGTAATTTTACCTTAACAGTTATTCATGTATTGCAGAATACAGTTCTAAATACTTTGTAGTATTACCTGTGCATGTGTTATTTGATGACCATCTTTCAAAACCAACATCGCAGAGGCATTCAGCTGAACCATTTAGATTGTGACAAATTTCATGTAAACCTACACAGTAGTTAGCATTGACACACTCATCTATGTCATCATTGCAAAAAGTGCCATTCCACCCTTCAACACAAAAACAAACTCCATTTATGTTGTCACAGTCTTCTGTGTTTACCATGAAGCAGTCACAAGGCTCAGCACAGTTCCATCCATGATTTGTTTCATTGCATGCTATTAGAGTAATTTTTAAATTATCTTTTTACAAAACTGCATGTTAAAAAGAATAAATGTTTAACCTAACAACTTCTATTTCAATGAAATAACCATATAGTCATCTGGTAATATATTATATATAAATTTTTGCAAAACAACTAAAACAAAGTCAAAATAACTATAAAGCATTACCTTCACAACTGTAGTTAAATAAGGATCTTTGAAACCCAATGTCACATAGACATTCAGCAGATCCATTTGAATTAAAACATATCTCATTCGCTTCAAAACAATAGATGATATTCAGACATTCATCCACATCTTCATCACAAACAGTGCCATTCCAGCCACTAGCACATGTGCATTCTCCAGTGGTGTCATTGCAATCTTCTGTGTTGTTGAGATTACAGCTGCATGTGTTGGCACAGTTCAGACCATAGTGAGTAGCATTACAGGCTGAAATAAAACACATGTAAAAAAGGATGACTAGTTTTAGTTGAAAAGAAAAAAGCATTCATTTCATAAACCAATTTATGGTTTTAAAAGTGTGTGAGTTTTAAAATATAAGCACTCATTTCAAGACGGCAGAAATTATACAACAAATTTTTATCTCATAAATGAGTATGTTTTTATGCATGGAATTTCATAAAAATCAATTACCTTGGCAGCTTTCATCAGTGGTAGAATTCTCATATCCAATATTACACCTACATTCTGCAGATCCATTTAAATTAAAGCAGCTAGCATGGATGTCAGAACAAAAGTCAGTCTGTTCACACTCATCAATATCAGTTTCACAGTTCGTGCCATTCCACCCAAAGAGACAAGAGCATTCTCCTGTATTGTCTAGGCAATCTACTGTATTCTCCATAACACATGAGCAAGGATTTGAACATTCGTAGCCAAAGAAGGTGTTATTACAAGCTGTAAGAAAATGGGAATACAGTAGTAAAATATTTTAAAATTAAAAATCTTTATAACTTAAATTTTGACATATTTTTTATTCTGCAAATTTCTAAAAATAAATTATTTGTATCAAATATTTCAGCATTTCCTTTAATAAAGAACAAAACATCTTCTGCCATACCTTGGCACTGCAGGTCAGTAAGTGATCTTTGAAAACCAATCTCACACCTACATTCTGCTGACCCCACCAAATTAAAGCAAACTTCCATGTAGCCTAGACAGTAGTTAGCATTAAGGCACTCATTGATATCTTCATCACAAATGGTGCCATTCCAACCAGCTGCACACAAACATTCTCCTGTGGTGTCATTGCAATCAACTGTGTTGTTTAGGTTACAGCTGCAGGTGTTGGCACAGTTCAGACCATAGTGGGTAGCATTACAGGCTGAAAAATAGGAGTATTTTAGAAAACATAACAACCAACTTAAAATATTTCTTTTTAAATTGGCCCCATATAGAGTGAATATGTAATGTTTGTTTGTTTTTTGGATATAAACAGGACTAGAAGATATTGATTTTAAAAAAATAATCCTATTGCTGTAAACTATACATAGACAGCTTTCATTAGTTGAAACAATTTCAAATCCAATGTTACATCTACATTCTGCAGATCCATTCATATTAAAGCAGCTAGAATTGGTGTCTGAACAAAAAGTATCATTTTTACATTCATCAATATCAGTTTCACAGTTATTGCCTTTCCAACCATGATGACAAGTGCAGCTACCAGTTGTATCATTACAATTTTCTGTGTTTGCCATGATGCATGTACAGGGGTTTGAGCATTCATAGCCATAGTATGTGCTGTTGCAAGCTTTTAGAAAATAAAGAACATAGTACATTTTAAAAAAAGATCAGCAAAAATATCTCTAGTAAAATAATAAATTTTAGTATTGTAAGCAAACAAATGACTTAAAAATCTAAGCTAAATATTTACTGCTAAATTATTCATAAATTACCTTGGCACTTGTGATTCAGTCCTGATCTCTGATATCCAATCTCACACCTACATTCTGCTGACCCCACCAAATTAAAGCAAACTTCCATGTAACCAGGACAGTAGCTGGCATTAAGGCACTCATTGACATCTTCATCACAAGTGGTGCCATTCCAACCAGCTGCACACAAACATTCTCCTGTGGTGTCATTGCAATCAACTGTGTTGTTTAGGTTACAGCTGCAGGTGTTGGCACAGTTTAGACCATAGTGAGTAGCATTACAGGCTGGAACAAAACATATGTAAAAAGCATGATGAATCGCAGTAAAAAATGTCTCAAAGTGGAGAATTTCACCCATGCTTTTTTTCTCAATAGTCTTTGAGCCTCGCTACAATTTTGTTAATTGAGAATAATCGAAATGGTTTTATTCCGTTAGATAGTATGTACAGTTTGTAACTATAATTTGAGTCTCAACAACAGAATCGAGTGAGAAAAAATCCAAAGCCTAATTCTATACCGACACCATCGATGAGCGGCTCAACGACCAGTGTTGCGCTCCTTATTTCCTGAACCTATTAAAGTAAGAACATTCAAACTCGAAATACCAAAATTTGGAATTACAGGCGTAGGCCTATCCAGAGGTCAACTTCATACACCACTGTTCGGTCACTTGGGTCTAATATCTTACCCAGAGTACACCTGGATGTGATATTAATGTCGCTCTGCACAATTACGGCCTGTCTCGTTCTGGTGGAGAGGTGGGAAGGGAGGGGGGATTAACCAAATCAGTGTGAACATAGCGTCAGTTTTAAGATAACTGTTGCAAACGTACATATACAATTATACATACATTCTAATAGAGAAATATGTTTAAATAATTGACAGTGATAGTAAGACAACTTTTTTTTTAAAGAGGTGTCAATGGAGGGTGGGGGGGGGGGGGGAGACTGTAACCCCCATAGCCTCTCCTCCTTCCTAAGCCACTGTATATTTTATTTATTAAACGTACTATACATTTAATCTTCAGAATTTCTTTGTTAAAATACGTAATGGAATAAACATTCCTACGGGATATTTTTAAAAAGTATATCCTAAGCGTCGTCTTCATTTTGTGACATCTATAAAGAAATATTATGAAGTAAATTGAAGTAAATTATATTAAATGATGGTTTAGAAAATATTAGAGCTTACAAAAAACAAGAGATAAAAAAAAATTGTAGAAAAAAATAACTTAGATGAGCCTGTTGTCGTGAGTTAGTAAACAAAATCAGATATGCTAGTATAGTTTTCAATAAAATTTTGTATTAAAATTTAAACTAATGGAAAAAGCCAAATTACTTGAAAATTGTGTAGAAATAGTTGTTGGCTCTTCTGAAAGTGTTGGCCTAGTCAACTCTGTAGTTTGAGATGTGTGAACTTTTGTTGTTGGCACAGTTGATTCAGGTGTACTGGATGTGGGAACTTTTGTTGTTGGCACATTTGATTCAGGTGTACTAGATGTGGGAACTTTTGTTGTTGGCACAGTTGCTTCAGATGTACTAGATGTGAGAACTTTTGTTGTTGACACAGTTGATTCAGGTGTACTAGATGTGGGAACTTTTGTTATTGGCACAGTTGACTCAGGTGTAAAGTATGTGTACACTTCTGTTGTTGGCGCAGTTGATTCAGGTGTACGAGATGTGGGAACTTTTGTTGTTGACACAGTTGATTCAGATGTACTAGATGTGGGAACTTTTGTTGTTGACACAGTTGATTCAGACGTACTAGATGTGGGAACTTTTGTTGTTGACACAGTTGATTCAGATGTACTAGATGTGGGAAATTTTGTTGTTGACACAGTTGATTCAAATGTACTAGATGTGGGAACTTTTGTTGTTGACACAGTTGATTCAGATGTACTAGATGTGGGAACTTTTGTAGTTGACACAGTTGATTCAGACGTACTAGATGTGGGAACTTTTGTTGTTGATACAGTTGATTCAGATGTACTAGATGTGGGAACTTTTGTTGTTGACACAGTTGATTCAGACGTACTAGATGTGGGAACTTTTGTTGTTGACACAGTTGATTCAGATGTACTAGATGTGGGAAATTTTGTTGTTGACACAGTTGATTCAGATGTACTAGATGTGGGCACTTTTGTTGTTGACTCAGTTGATTCAGGTGTACTAGATGTGGGAACTTTTGTTATTGGCACAGTTGATTCAGGTGTAAAGTATGTGTACACTTCTGTTGTTGGCGCAGTTGATTCAGGTGTACTGGATGTGTACACTTCTGTTGTTGGCGCAGTTGATTCAGGTGTACTGGATGTGGGAATGTTTGTTGTTGGCGAAATTGAGTCAGTTGTAGTGGATGTGTACACTTCTTTTGCTGGCACAGTGGATTCAGGTGTACTGGATGTGGGAACTTCTGTGGTTGGCACAGTTGATTCAGGTGTAGTGTATGTGTACACTTCTGTTGCTGGCATAGTGTATTCAGATGTACTGGATGTGGGAACGTCTGTGGTTGGCACAGTTGATTCAGGTGTAGTGGATGTGTACACATCTGTTGGGGCAGTTGATTCAGGTGAACTTGATTTGGATACTTCTGTTGTTGGCACAGTTGATTCAGGTGTATTGAGTGTGTAAACTTCTGTTGTTGACACAGTTGATTCAGGTGTACTTGATGTGTACGCTTCTGTTGTTGGCACAGGTGATTCAGGTGTTCTGGATGTGTACGCTTCTGTTGTTGGCATAGGTGATTCAGGTGTAACGGATGTTGGAACTTCTGTTGTTGTCACAGGTGATTCAGGTGTACTGGATGTGTACGCTTCTGTTGTTGGCACAGGTGATTCAGGTGTACTGGATTTGTACGCTTCTGTTGTTGGCATAGGTGATTCAGGTGTAACGGATGTTGGAACTTCTGTTGTTGTCACAGGTGATTCAGGTGTACTGGATGTGTACGCTTCTGTTGTTGGCACAGGTGATTCAGGTGTTCTGGATGTGTACGCTTCTGTTGTTGGCATAGGTGATTCAGGTGTAACGGATGTTGGAACTTCTGTTGTTGTCACAGGTGATTCAGGTGTACTGGATGTGTACGCTTCTGTTGTTGGGACAGGTGATTCAGGTGTACTGGATGTGTACGCTTCTGTTGTTGTTATAGGTGATTCAGGTGTACTGGATGTGTACGCTTCTGTTGTTGGCACAGGTGATTCAGGTGTACTGGATGTGTACGCTTCTGTTGTTGGCATAGATGATTCAGGTGTAACGGATGTTGGAACTTCTGTTGTTGGCACAGTTGATTCAGGTGTACTGGATCTGTACACTTCTGTTGTTGGCGCAGTTGATTCAGGTGAAGTGGATTTGGATACTTCTGTTTTTGGCACGGTTGATTCAGGTGTAGTTGATGTGGCAACTCCAGATGTTGGCGCAGTTGATTCAGGTGTACTGGATGTAGGAACTTCTTTTGTTGAGATACGTGAGTCAGGTGTACTGGATTTGGATACTTCTGTTGTTGGCACAGTTGATTCAGGTGTACTAGATGTGGGAAATTTTGTTGTTGACACAGTTGATTCAAATGTACTAGATGTGGGAACTTTTGTTGTTGACACAGTTGATTCAGATGTACTAGATGTGGGAACTTTTGTAGTTGACACAGTTGATTCAGACGTACTAGATGTGGGAACTTTTGTTGTTGATACAGTTGATTCAGATGTACTAGATGTGGGAACTTTTGTTGTTGACACAGTTGATTCAGACGTACTAGATGTGGGAACTTTTGTTGTTGACACAGTTGATTCAGATGTACTAGATGTGGGAAATTTTGTTGTTGACACAGTTGATTCAGATGTACTAGATGTGGGCACTTTTGTTGTTGACTCAGTTGATTCAGGTGTACTAGATGTGGGAACTTTTGTTATTGGCACAGTTGATTCAGGTGTAAAGTATGTGTACACTTCTGTTGTTGGCGCAGTTGATTCAGGTGTACTGGATGTGTACACTTCTGTTGTTGGCGCAGTTGATTCAGGTGTACTGGATGTGGGAATGTTTGTTGTTGGCGAAATTGAGTCAGTTGTAGTGGATGTGTACACTTCTTTTGCTGGCACAGTGGATTCAGGTGTACTGGATGTGGGAACTTCTGTGGTTGGCACAGTTGATTCAGGTGTAGTGTATGTGTACACTTCTGTTGCTGGCATAGTGTATTCAGATGTACTGGATGTGGGAACGTCTGTGGTTGGCACAGTTGATTCAGGTGTAGTGGATGTGTACACATCTGTTGGGGCAGTTGATTCAGGTGAACTTGATTTGGATACTTCTGTTGTTGGCACAGTTGATTCAGGTGTATTGAGTGTGTAAACTTCTGTTGTTGACACAGTTGATTCAGGTGTACTTGATGTGTACGCTTCTGTTGTTGGCACAGGTGATTCAGGTGTTCTGGATGTGTACGCTTCTGTTGTTGGCATAGGTGATTCAGGTGTAACGGATGTTGGAACTTCTGTTGTTGTCACAGGTGATTCAGGTGTACTGGATGTGTACGCTTCTGTTGTTGGCACAGGTGATTCAGGTGTACTGGATTTGTACGCTTCTGTTGTTGGCATAGGTGATTCAGGTGTAACGGATGTTGGAACTTCTGTTGTTGTCACAGGTGATTCAGGTGTACTGGATGTGTACGCTTCTGTTGTTGGCACAGGTGATTCAGGTGTTCTGGATGTGTACGCTTCTGTTGTTGGCATAGGTGATTCAGGTGTAACGGATGTTGGAACTTCTGTTGTTGTCACAGGTGATTCAGGTGTACTGGATGTGTACGCTTCTGTTGTTAGGACAGGTGATTCAGGTGTACTGGATGTGTACGCTTCTGTTGTTGTTATAGGTGATTCAGGTGTACTGGATGTGTACGCTTCTGTTGTTGGCACAGGTGATTCAGGTGTACTGGATGTGTACGCTTCTGTTGTTGGCATAGATGATTCAGGTGTAACGGATGTTGGAACTTCTGTTGTTGGCACAGTTGATTCAGGTGTACTGGATCTGTACACTTCTGTTGTTGGCGCAGTTGATTCAGGTGAAGTGGATTTGGATACTTCTGTTTTTGGCACGGTTGATTCAGGTGTAGTTGATGTGGCAACTCCAGATGTTGGCGCAGTTGATTCAGGTGTACTGGATGTAGGAACTTCTTTTGTTGAGATACGTGAGTCAGGTGTACTGGATTTGGATACTTCTGTTGTTGGCACAGTTGATTCAGGTGTACTGGATCTGTACGCTTCTGTTGTTGGCACCGATGATTCAGGTGTACTGGATGTGTACGCTTCTTTTGTTGGCATAGGTGATTCAGGTGTAACGGATGTTGGAACTTCTGTTGTTGTCAAAGGTGATTCAGGTGTACTGGTTGTGTACGCTTCTGTTGTTGGCATAGGTGATTCAGGTGTAACGGATGTTGGAACTTCTGTTGTTGGCACTGTTGATTCAGGTGTACTGGATCTGTACACTTCTGTTGTTGGCGCAGTTGATTCAGGTGTAGTGAATGTGTAAACTTCTGTTGTTGGCACAGGTGATTCAGGTGTACTGGATGTGTACACTTCTGTTGTAGGCGCAGTTGATTCAGGTGTAACGGATGTGGGAACTTCTGTTGTTGGGACAGGTGATTCAGGTGTAGTTGATGTGGGAACTTCTGTTGTTGGCACAGTTGATTCAGGTGTAGTGGATTTTGGAACTTCAGTTGTTGGCGCAGGTGATTCAGATGCAGTGTATGCGTACACTTCTGTTGTTGGCACAGTTGATTCAGTTGGAGCGTTTGTGTAAACTTCTGTTGTTTCCATTGTTGATTCAAGTGTGCTTGATGTATACAGTTCCGGTGTTGAGACAGGTAATTCAGTTGTACTAGATGTGTACATTTCTGCTGTTAGTACAAGTTATTCAGTTGCTTGGGATGTATAAACGTCTGATATTTGCATAGATGAGTCTGGCGTACTGAATGTGGAAGTTTTTAATGTTGCTTACATAGTCAAAGAAGGCACTGAGGTTTCAGAGTCCGTGCTAGTTTGATACATGGTAGTTGTTGCGAGTGCAAATGTAGAGCTACTTATTGAAACTTTTGTTGTGACCACTTCTGTTGTTAAAGCTGAAGATGCGGCAATTGTTGCTAAAAAAGCAATTTAAAAAAAAAATTAGAAAAAATAAAATACTCCATGTGGTTTATTGTGGTTAACTTCAGTAAATTGTCCAAGAAGTCGTGATGCATTTTATGTCGACTGTATATTATTATCATCAGAATAACTTTTTAAAAAATGTTAAATTATTGTAAAGAAAAATGATTTTCAAAGTAAGTTTTAAGTAGAGATAGACGTAAATAAATAAATGAATTAATATTCGGATAGACTGATTGTATCTCGGAAAACAAGGCACAAATACCGAGCAACAGGTTGAGTAAATCATTATCTTGCCCATGTTACAGGTTCTCTCATCTCACAGCTGATAGGCCATAAGGTGAGACATTACCTGTACACCAACCGTGTCGCAGCTGCTATAGATAAACCCGAGTTGGATATATCTTACGGGGTTACACTCCTGCTTGATTTCGGAATGAATGGCTTGTATTTCCCAGTTAAATTAGCCTCACACTGGGGAGTGTGTATGTTAGCAATCACTGGCTTTCTCACCCAAGCAAGCCACCCCCTTGATATGCAAGTTTAACACCACACGAATCACTGCCGTGACACTTAATTTACCATAATGTACTATTACATTGTGTTATTTTCAACTCCACTTCATATTCGCTAATCGTGTTTTAAAGTTACCGTCAGCATAATATATATATATATATATATATATATATATATATATATATATATATATATATATATATATATATATATATATATATATATATATATATATATATATATATATATATATATATATATATATATATATATAGTCTCAGTCAAGATTCGTCATTTTTTAAAAGAATTTTAAACTTTTTTTTTTGTTCAAAGGTCATGTTCAAGGAAGCATATAATGTCATGTGGCGAGATTGTGCCGCTGTGCTAAAACTAACTTATCGCTTGAGTGCTTTTGTCACGTCGTCTACAAGGCTGCTAGACCCCGTGCTGAGAGGCTTGTGACAACGTTTTGTCATTCCGTTACGCTTGACCGGTTCGGTTTCACCAATAATATTGAAAGGGGGGAACATGTGTGAAGCGATTTTCCCCGCTGACATTGTAAATTTTTTTACACGCTGTATCTTTATGTCTTAAATTGCAGGGAAGTTAGAATTTTTTTTTACATGCGTGTCTTTATGTCTTAAATTGCAGGGAAGTTAGAATTTTTTTTTACATGCGTGTCTTTATGTCTTAAATTGCAGGGAAGTTAGAATTTTTTTTTACATGCGTGTCTTTATGTCTTAAATTGCAGGGAAGTTAGAATTTTTTTTTACATGCGTGTCTTTATGTCTTAAATTGCAGGGAAGTTAGAATTTTTTTTTACATGCGTGTCTTTATGTCTTAAATTGCAGGGAAGTTAGAATTTTTTTTTACATGCGTGTCTTTATGTCTTAAATTGCAGGGAAGTTAGAATTTTTTTTTACATGCGTGTCTTTATGTCTTAAATTGCAGGGAAGTTAGAATTTTTTTTTACATGCGTGTCTTTATGTCTTAAATTGCAGGAAAGTTAGAATTTTTTACTTTAAATTCGATTCAACAATAGTTACATTGTCGAGCCTGGACAAGGGTGTGTGGGTGTTTGTGGGTGTGTGTGGGGGTGACACCATGACGTAAACCTGATACATTGACCTGTATTAATAACCGACTATATATAAACATAATTAGTATTACCTGAGCACAGTTTAAAGTTATCATAGTATGGGGGGGGGTGGGTTGGCGAGGGGGAGGGGGGGGGGGGTTATATCAATTAAACGTTGCAAAATTTGCCTGAGGAGAGAGGTTCTGTTGAGAATCGTAATAACTTATGTGTCAATCTACGCATGGGATGAGGGGATGACACCGAATTTTCTAATTTACTACAAAAGCGATGATTTTTTTTGCAATTTAATTAACAATTGTTAGAGTTAGTGGGTGACACTTATATTGGCCTTGTAAGTTTAAACTATATATATATATATATATATATATATATATATATATATATATATATATATATATATATATATATATATATACAGAGAGAGAGAGGGAAAGATAGAGAGAGTTGAGATATATTTGTATGTAATTATATTTAGTACAAAAACAGTAGTTATTATATAATTACCTGCTAACTAGAACTCGCTACGTTACTTTCTAAAAGAAGTTCAGGGTTTTGCTAAACTTTATCGCTACTTGTTAAGTGTAGAAGCAATAAGAAAACAAAAATACCTGCTTTTGTTTCGCTTACAGCCAGAGTAAACAGAAGGTACATATAAATAAAATGAATGTTGTATTCTTTCTCCATTTGTCTGTAGATATATATATATATACATATATATATATATATATAGGCCTATATATATATATATATATATATATATATATATATATATATATATATATATATATATATATATATATATATATATATATATATATATATGTATAGGCCTATATATATATATATATATATATATATGTATACATATATATATATATATATATATATATATATATATATATATATATATATATATATATATATATATATATATATATATATATATATATGTATGTTACGGTCAAAGCCCGAAGTGCGGCCAAACACCGGATTGGCCGGCCAATGCGTGGATTGGCCGGCTCTCTTGGCCAAAGCCTGAAGAACTTAGAACTAAGATCGTATTTCGTACATTGACCGGCCAATGCGCGCACTGACCGGGACGTACTGGCCAAAGTCCGAAGTGCTTAAACTTGACAGCGTATTTTGTACATTGGCCGGCCAATGCGCGCATTGGCCGGGATGTCCTGGCCAATGTTCTATCTAGACTAAGTTGTGATCGCGTTTTCATTATTGTGATCGCGGTTTCATTGAGAGTAACGTATTGTTTAGCAGTTCTTTGTGATTCAAGTTATTTCTGAACTAAAGAACATGTGGCCTGAACTTAAACTAGTTCACGGAAAACCAAGGCATAGCCAAAGCCAAGGTTCAGTCGAACGTGCCAACCAAGATGTTCAAAACATAATGATGACATGGATGCAAACAAATGAATCAGCTCATTGGGCTGAGAGTCTCAAATTCATTCAATTTATGAAAAATCGTTCTTTTCATCAAGGAATCCAACAATCACCATACGAAGCCTTATTTGGATGCAAAGCAAAAGTGGGACTTAGCACTTCAAATCTACCAAGAGAGGCTCTCAAAAAAATAGCTACTGAGTAAGATCTTGAGAACATTGAACAAGAAATGGAGGTTGCCATAAATGCAACTACATCCTCAGCTAACACATCTGCTGCCGTGGCGGAACTTCCAGACCAGTTGCGTGACAATAAAGTGGCCAACAGATTCTGTATAGTTTGTGAAAAACATTGTAGTGCAGCTCATTCTTGTGGATCCTGTGGCAAAGATGTCCATGCTATTTGTGGAGTACCCAATGAAGCAGACGAAGGGTACGGAGGGAACATTACCTGCAGATTGTGTCACAACAAACAAGACATCATGGAACACAGGTCAGCAGCAAATACAAAATTTAAAGACGGTGAAGTGGGTGACAATGTACGCATCCGTGTTCCAGATGTTGACAGAGGTCGCGGTGATCCCCGAAGCGTGATTGCAGTTGTTATGAGCGTCGAGGGGGGTTTCTACAAATTAGGAACGGAACATGGTGTTCTAAAACAACCGTATGCTAGAAATGAGTTTTCAATTCTTCACGAAAAACTGCTCTTATTGTCGTCAGTTGGCACCGAGGAAAAATCACTACGAACCATCGCATCTTCACAATCATTGACTGGGGGCCAAGGCACAACCAAGTGCATAACAAATCGCTGCAAGTGTAACAATAACAAGCTCCTATGTAATTCTAAATGCCATAAAAGTTCAACTTGTGGTAACAAATTATAATATTGATTGATCGAGACTATAGTACAATAAAAAATTTGAATGTTTCTGTCATTTTCTTTAATTAATAATCAATAAAGACTTAATTTCATGATTAAAAAACCCAAAATCTGCTCATGATTTTCTAATTCGGACTTTGGCCGGTCGTCCCTAGCCAGATGATCTTCTAATTAAGACTTTGGCCGGTCCACCATGGCCAATCCGCGGACTGACCGGCCTAAGGCCGAAATCAAGAGCTATTTCAGACTTTGGCCGGTCCACCATGGCCAGTCTGCGGATTGGCCGGCCAAAGGCCGAAATCAAGCAAAGTTTCGGGTTTTGACCGACCTATAAGAGGCGATATTGGCCAATGCGCGGATTGGCCGGCCAATCCGCGCATTGGCCGACTTCGGGCTTGGACCGTAACATATATATATATATATATATATATATATATATATATATATATATATATATATATATATATATATATATATATATATATATATATATATGTAACTAGGGTAAGTTACTAAAGACTATGGATTCATACTATTGATAAGAACGCATCACAGTCTGATGCAACGATGTGGATTGATGGCGATCGCAAAGCCGCGGCGCAGTTCACAAGCTGATGCAACAAATGGTAATTATTACGTATACGAGGGGATGATGGGAAGGCGACGGGTAGAGAGACAGTTGAGGACAGTTGAGAACCCAGTTGGTTATTGAACGGTGTAGACGTGTGTGTTATGTGAGAATAGGAACTATGGGCACGTGCATTCTGTTATGTGAGGACTAGTGAGGACAGTGGGGGTCAGTTGGTTCATTGTATTCTTGTGGAACATTGATGCATTGTTATGTGGAGCATTTCTATTTA